CTCAGTGCCAATAGTTTAGCTCTTCCAATTTACATATTGTAAGCGACGTAAATTGGTGCCTCGGTGTCACGTCAAAATGATGGAACGAACCATCCAAGTTTGTTTCTGTTGATTGAAACCGGATTAAATGTATACATCATCTTGCACACAGGTATTTATTCAAGCTTACGACATATTCATAAACCACATCGTATAGAGGATTTTTTTGTTGCTCGAAGTGGTGAAATTCTAAGTTTTGGCAGAACATAATGATATGTGACTGTGACAATAAATTTAGTTACGGTGTAAAACAGATTGTCACCGCAACTAATTTGTCATTGAAACTAAATTTGTGGTGGCTGTAACAATAATTGAAGGGGTGCGAGAGTCAAAGGGCTTTGTTGCATTGCAGCGTTTCAAAAGTTCATCCAGCATCTTCTTTTATTCATTAATACATGTATGTTTAACTACGAAACATAGGTAGATCCAAGGTGGGCCTTAGTGTGTGCCTGCTACCCCCCCCCCCTCTTCCCACTCCCATTCGCATGAAAAAGGAGGAAGACGTAGAGAAGAAAGAAAGGAGGAAGAAACGAAGAAAAGAGGAGGAAACAGAGGAAAGAGGAGGAAACAGGAAAGAAGGACGCTTATGCTTGAAAATTATTCATGCCGAAATGTACTCAATCTGCATATTAGATTCTTTAAAGTCTCGAAAATTTGCCAGGAGGCGCCCCCCGGAACCCCTTTCCGCCCGTTCCCCCATTCGAAGGGTCTAGAACCGCCAATGCAACGACACTTTTAAGAAATTTTCATAAAATCACAAAAAAATGCACCACGAAGTTTCAAAAAAATTGCAATTGTTTGTAGTAAATGAATAATAAAATTATGCAAGTAAACTCCCTAGCTCTGACCCCTTTAATTAAATTGGGTTTAAGTGGGGGTCAGCATTTTGTTTTAGCTGCGAATATTTTTTCTGGGCACTCAAGAACGCATAAAAACATTTATGAACTTTCAACTCAGTTTCGCACAACACCTACAGCGATTGCATTATTTTGTTGATTAAACGCTGCCCTGCCTACCCACAGTCATGACGTCACTTGTACAAACTGTCGCATGACCATTATTCTCTTTGTACTTCCTTTGTCGCTACCAAGAGTGTATAAATACCACAAGTTTCTATTCAGCGTGACATTCCACGATCAGGGATGATGCCGAAATAATTCCTCCCCACACATAGCAGTAGTTCGTATAACTCTTCACACCGCTCGTGGGCCATGGGGGGTGGGGGTGCCTCCATTAATAAATTCTGGCGAGTCACGCTCAAGGAAGTGACTAGCGTGAGGGAAGATGGGCCCCGGTCAAGACAGGAAGTGGGCGACCGTGTTCCTCGCTAGCCTGCGGATATCCAACGTGAACATGATTAGCGGGCGGTATGCTCCACTTTTGAAGGCGCCTTTATGAGACGCAAGACAGTTGCCGATTGGAAAACCTCACGATCCATTACATAAGTAGTTTTTCAAGCGGTCAGAGTTGGAACCTGTGAAACTTCGCTTGATTTTCGAAGACATTTTTAAATTTCCTCGGGTTCTTGCGCTGGCTGATAATTTTCAGTATTCAACAGCAGCCATTACGTATTTTTCATGAAAAATTATGTGACTGGGTCTATGAATGGTAGAACTGAGTTGTTTGGTAACACTGCACGAAGAGAGAGATACGCACGAGTTGTAAAATTAAATATAAATGAAAGTAAAAATATATTTACAAGTAGTCTGCGAAATTAAGTAGCAAGCTCTTGGGATGGAAAATTCTTTAAGAGAACAAATTATGAATACGTTTCTTAATTGCCGCAAAATCAAGAGTATTTCTGCTTAAATCAAGTCAATTTTTTCCAGAGAAGATTAAAATTGGTCAAACTTGGTCAAGTCCGCCTAATATAGATTGCGCCACACGTCACTGAGTGTGCATGATTGAGCAGGTACTTAATAATTGAGAGCTTGCTTTCTAAATTCGTAAAATTGAAAGCTAGCTAAACACAAATACCTATAAAGAATGATTTAAAAATTGCTGATTTCTGGTGCTTTCAGAGTTGAAAATTTACTTTGATCCCGACACCAGCTGCTATTATTCATTTATCTTTTCATCAAAATTTTCACTATTTTTACAGCATGAGACACGTCACCGCTGCGACGGTCAAAGTTTTAAAATCAGCCCTCTACTAGCATGTTTTAGTGTAGTGACGCAATAAGACTGTGGTATGTAAAATCATAGGAATTTCGACGTTAACCCTAGCGCATTTAACTTGAAACTCGGTACACTGACGAAAAATGTTTAAAATGTTTTCATGTTTTAAATCATACGTGAGTTTACAATTTCACATGCAAGCACAATAGATTTACACCTTTTTCTCCCTCAAAATTGCCCACCACAATCTCTCAATGATATTTTTTACATTCAAAATATTTCATTCAAAGCAGGTGTGGTGTTTCGGTACCCTGTATAGCACCTAACTTGCATAGTCAATTCACGGTAAGCAATCGGGGTTTTTTTCTACACCCCTTCGCATCCATGCTTTAAAACCGGGTTACAAAGCGTGGGTGTGGTGGCAGTTGAGATTAATTTCTTAACCTCAGAGGAACGCTCTGCGGGCACGGAAAAACTTTAACGCGATTAAAACTGAAAAGGTTATCAACATTCAACAGTACGTGTCTAGGCGGGAGAGAGAGCATATTTATACCTGAAGGAATAGGTAACGTATTAATTTATTATTCCATATTAAGGTCACGTATATATCTTCATTCGTTTAATCGTTATTTATTCATCCTTGGTTTAAAGTCAATCATGTCTTCCCTGTGGGAGTTCTCCTCTGTGTTGGGTGAAGAAAGGGTGGCTACTGGAGGTAGATTTATGCTCACGAATATGTTCTCAGAGGGATCGACTGTCTTATCGCTTTTCTTGTGTAAAAACGCAACTCCATATTTACATGAGTCGCAGAGAGCATGAATTAATATGGACAATAGAGTTCACATTAAAAAACAATTACACCCTTACGTTCTAGATGAGTAACAATTTGAGCGTTGTTATAGTGTGCTTTTATGCATTTAAGTTTCCTTCACTCAATTGCAGCTAATATCTTTGAGTGATGGGATTCTGGGCTGAAATAATGTAACACAGGTTACGGGCATATGAGGAGAGAAATGGATCGCGTTTAGCAGAAAGGAACCAAGCCAAATCAGATATTGCTAAATAAGGTAAATTTAACTGGGCATTTTAATTTTTTACAAGAGAGTGTTTGTGCGTATTCCTTGGAAAATGTTTAGGAATGGCACGCACTATGCAGAAAACTCCAAATATATAGCTTGAGGCCTCGTGTAATCGACTTGCAGCTTCAAGAAGTGGTTCATAATTTTGACTGATCCCGTTTTCAAGGGAGGGATTCCTAACGTTGGGCTATGTACAAAATTTTAGTGAATATGTGTATTTTAGGGTTGTTTGAGAACACAAGTCATCTACCAGATGACCTCTGGATCAATAGGCAAGGATGGATGGCGATTAGGTGTCGCAGAGCGCCCGAGCGCGCTGTAAAGCGACTGGAATGTATGTATGTATGTGAGAACACAAGTAACTGAATAAAGAGAAACATGAGATGAAACATTTACTTAATTTTTGTCAATGCCTCAGGCCTCACATATGCGAACAATTTAGGCCGATCTCTTTAAATACTTCATCGTTGATTCGTTTTTTCATGAAGTCAGTCCACTAGTGCTCCTATTTCGATGATCCTAGAGCATAATCGCTAATGATTGACATGTTTCTACAATCTTTGGGTCATGTCTCTGGGTCAGAAATGATTTACATTTCTGACTGTACTAACACTAACTCTTCAGTGAACCAAAAAAAAAAAAAAATTATTAAAAAAAAATTACAAATTTCTTAAGCTGCGCAATCGAATTTTTCCTGGAGTTATCATGAGACGACTTTGCCGCGTTCGTCGTTCCTAGATGAAAGAAGGCAGACCGACATTTGAACTGAGTTTATCAAAAAGGAACAAACCCACATTTTCGAAAAAATTGAGTTAAGAATGTTTTTGAATTTCACCGGCCATATATTGTCTCCTGCTAAAAACTGAAAGTCTAAAAACAAAACAAAAAATTGTGCGAAAAGAGGTGTGAAAGTTTATGTTTTACATTAATTTCTTCACACTTTAGATTGTACGGATTGATTCTTTGAAAATTTTACGAGAAAATCAATGAAACCAGTTTGAAAACCTCTTTGTTTCCTATTATCGTCAATATGAGCTTTTAATGATTTCTCATTTTGTTCGACTCCTCTTCTTGACTGTTTCCACCGAGCGCCGCCGCTGGTGAGGCGGTTAGTGTCTGAAGTCAAAACGCCTTCACTCCCGTGCGTATGCAACACGGACATCCAAGAAGCTCGAATAGTTGCATCCAAGCGTCATGATGAAATACATTTAGTATCCGTCGCATGTAAAACTGACTGAAGCCTTGATATTTTTCATACTTTGTAACTTAATTCCAGCGTTGCCTAATGTGCCGATGAAGTATACTATTACTAATATGTATCGCGACACTGTCAATTTTCCGAGGATGTCATTATTTCAATACGTAACAATATTGCTGGCCCTCGAATTTGCAAAAATTTCGGCGCTTGAAAATAATATGTAGAGTTTTTTTGATGAGTCATTTGTTTGGATTTTTTTTTTCTTTCGGGAGAACGAATTTTGACGTTTAAGTGCAAAATTTTCGGAGAACATTCCTGATGAATCGCACATAAAATTCAGAACAAAAACGATGAGGGACCATTTGTATTTCAAAAAAATGAAACACGACAAAATCAAAAGAAGGTAAATTCATTGCAGAGCTTATAAATAGGTAACTTGTAATAAATGAACTACGTTGCACAAGGTTGCACGCAAATTTTGGTAGGATTGCATTTAAAAAAAAAAAGAACACTCACCACAGATAAGTACACACCAGTATTTTTACTGATATTTATTTTTTTATTAGTTTTTTTTTCAGTTTTTAAAAATTAGGAAACATGTTCGTACTTAAAAGTAAAAATAAATACAAATGAATTTTGATCGAGATAAAATTTAGATCATACGCTCTTTTCCTCTTTTCTACATCACGGTAAGATGAAAAATATCAAGAGCCCCATAATATACCCTCCTCTGAAGTTTTGTAATGAGCATTCAAAATTTAGGAACTATCCGAGGACATGCTGATCATTTGAGAGTATTTTTTTGGACAAAGAAAAAAAATGGTATGCCTTTTTCAAAACGCAGGCATATTATTTGATCCATAACTCGACGCTTATTGCACAGGAAATCTTGAGTATCCATTTTTTGTCACCTTTTTAAGTTTTACCCAGCCACAATTTATTTACTGCTGGCAAAGAACTTCTCCAACTCTGCAATTTGGGTTCCTTTAGGATCGTACAATTTGATGAGCTCTTGGTATTCCCTCGGCTTCTTCGTTTTAACAACTTGCATTGATTTCTTGATGATTTTCCTTTGTTTCGGATCGCACTCTACGCACCTTGATTCCACCAACAGCGCAATGAACTCTGGAACACAAATTCAAATGCATTTTTGAATAGTGTCCATTTAGGTACAGGCTTATTTTGTTCGTAAGAATACCAAAGCACAGTTGTTGAGACCCGCATAACACAGCTCGTACAATAACTTCGAAAAAAATGTAAAACTGGTACTTGACCAGTTTGAAAGTTGTGCGTAAATAGCTCGTTAAAAAGTTGCACTTAATAATCTGATAGAGAAAATTTTACGGATAAATCTCGTAAATATAGAGGCAAGGAAAAATCGGAAGATTGAACTGGATTTATGCATATTATCGTTGAGAATATTATGTATAGTAGGTACTTTACTGTCTATTTATTGTCTATTATAATATTTTTTTCTTCAGTTTGCAACAATTCTTTTTTTTTTTTTTGGCTTGTGCCATAAGGAAATGTTAGCTCATAGATATTATTCTGAAGAATAGTTCCATGAACATTTTACCAAAAGCCTCACAGCATCGCTAAAATTTTGTTTAATGGTTCAAATCACTTTCAACCACTTGTTTAGTCCTCATTATATCAGCATTAGAATGGCACTCGTCTCTTGTTTTCTTCTTAGTCATTAACCTTCTGAAAAAGATAAAATACGGCGAAGGCTCCATAAGCTAATTATTTAGACATTCACGTTCAGCGGAGGTGATTCAAATGTTCAGCACTCAACTCTCCGAAACCCAGGTCCACGTATGAAGAACCTCCATTTCTTCCTGAAGGAGGTAAGTAATGTCTTAACGAGCAGTCTCGAAACTCATCACTGACTAATTTCAGGTTATGATCGCGTTAAAAATGGGAGTAATTTCTTTTCATCGAATGGTGCAATGACTCCACCAAACTGACCTCGGTCGACTGATTTCCTTTTGCTTCCCGTGTGGTACAGCAATCAAATAAAAGCAGTGTTCTTTGACCAAAAGCAATACGGCGATATTCTTAAGCTTAAAGTGGATTACATTTTACAATAAATAACCACTATTTCTAGCCCATTTTAGAAACAACATACACGCCATTCGTCTCCCTATGCAGATATGTGCTTTTATGGGAGAGCCAGAAATAGGTGTTCCTTATTGCAAATAAAACCCAAATATTCGAATTTTAAGCAGGCGAGAGTGAGAGCAGATGGGCACGACAAAGTCCATAGTATGAAAAAAAAAAGTGTTTTAGTGAGTGAAATTTGTCTTCAAATCTTTTTGACCGATTTGCATAATCGTTGAAGACTTTGTTGAAATGTAAAAATAATTTGCAGGTTTGCTTCTGCTACCTCTCATATTGATGGTGGCATCATCAAATCAGGAAAATCTCGATTACATGCAGACAATTTTCACTCGTATTTATTGTTTTGGGGAGAATACTGCTTGACTTTTTTTCGCAAAATTTCCAAAGGGTGTTGTTAAAACGAAGAAAAATCAAATAAAATTGTGTGCAAAAACACTAATTAGGACTTTTTAGGGTAGTAAATTGTGAAAGAAGCTTTGCAATGTTGCAAATCAACGCATGAAGTTTGGTATGCTTTCGCCATCAATACACAGTATACAAATATTACAAATTCAGTGGACGCCTACTAACTTGAAGCCCCTAAATTCGAAAAGTGCGTTAATGCGATAAACAAGCCAATCCCCATAAGATAATTCCTATAACTGAAAGAGAGAAAGAAAAGGAGGGGAAAACACGTATTGGCTACTCTCGATATAGTTCGGAATATTTGGACTCTGATTAGTCACTTAATTATAGTGTTGTCATTTGAAATGGTATTATGGGAAAAAGTGTGAATGATTACTGGATTTTAGAATTTATTTTTCGAAATTATTTTCTGGAGACACACGTTTGTAGTTTTGTTGCATTGCCTCGGCAACGATATAAAAAGCCGTTGAAATTAGACTCAGAGTAATGTTATAAGATGCTCATACCGTCGGATTTTTTCTTAATATTCCATACATCTTATCCATCAACAATTAACGGTTTAATTGCTCAGGTATTACTAGATTCCATTATACTTCTGTATAGGATGAATCGATGATTTGTAATAGCGTCTGTTAGGTGTCTGTAATCACATAATTTTATGATCCGAACACACAAGCCCTTTCTGAAACGCCATGATTTACGCCTCATTTAAGAGGCGCCAGTTCTGGTTTGTCCGACAAGTGGTAATTATACGTTATATCATCATCCAGAGCAATCGTAAACATCCTATAATTAATCTGATCAACAGCGAACTCAATAAGGAAATGGATGAATCGGAAACTCTACTGCACTTTGTTGCCGTTTCCAAGGGGAAAATCGGTTTTCCGAGAAATAACTGCTGAGGAAGCTCGAAAGGACATTTTTGTGTGAAGAAAGCGAACCTTCTTCTCTTAAACAAGACAATTTTGCAATGTTCAGAGTCATATTAATGGAATATGTCTTGTATCGTTCACTTAATACACTCAATACAAAATTCATCCGCTGACTTGGAATCGCTCGCAGCTGCTCTAAAAATTGTAAAAAATTTCGATGACCTCCAACCGAGAGCGATCTACCGTCTTCCTCTTCTTCTTTAATCAAACGCAGATAAGTACGCGTCACTGATAATTATACAATATTATTGCCGACAGGAATCAAAAAATAAATTTTGAAATATTGAAAAAAAAATATCATAGATTGATCTTGCCATTTTCTAAACTGGGATTATTTTTATAAAACAGAAAATCGAAAACGCTCTGCCACATAACCGCAAACAGGTTAAATCACGCATTGGTATTTCGTGGCTCTGTGGTAAATGTGCCTTATAATTTACAATAATGATCAATCAGGATTAAAGTGTAATTCCTCGCACAACATATTTCCTTGTTTTTTCTTGCGATACTTCCTCTTCCAAAACGCACGATATTTACATGAAATAATTGGAGATTATGATCATAATGTGGCTTTGGGCCGCTGAAATAAACGCCAAGTGTCGTATATTCACTCAAATCACGATGCAAATATGTACGACTGTATATTGTAAATATCGATTTTAAAACTGCAAAAATGCGTACCTAAATTGCGGTGTTTCAAAATCTCCGCCTCTATTTCATTTTTTAAGAGGAGAGTGAACCAACATCATGATTCGCAATTTTCATAGAATATTCTTTGATTAGAGAAAAAAAAATTACCAAGGTTTTCAAAAAAAAGACGTCAAGGAGTTTTCCATGTATCTTGTAAATATATGTAGAGTGACAGGAAGTCTGCAACGCCACAAACCGAGATACACGCATTTCTGCAGTTTCATCATCAATATGTAAATATTACTGATTACAAGTGCAAACTGCGATTATTTAAATGATTGGATCACATTTTGCACTTTGGAACGACTATTCCCGATATTTAATAAAATCACCTATCTGTATGGGGAGACTAATGCCACACATGCTGTTTCTAAAACGAGTCAGAAATAATAGTTCCTAATGCCAAAATGTAATCAAATATTTCATTGTGAACTTGAGCACTTTGTAATCTTGTGCGAATCATGTGTACACAGAACATTACTCACCTATTAATAAAAATAAGTCAAGCACTCAGATTATATTTTTTTTAGCTCTCTTTGTGCGTCTAGCAGAATGTTTACGTCTGGGACTAATGAGCCCTACCTGGGAGCCTCAGCCTCCCGTCTAACTGACGGGAATCCCCAACAATTTTCCGCAACACTGTAAATTCATCTGCCAGATGTTTGATTTAATTCCTTAAGACTTTCCTCTCGTCTCAGAAAGAAATAACTCGTGTTTTTCTCATTCAATTTGGCAAGGATGATTATTAATGCAAATGAATCTGCAGTCCCACGAATTATGAATCAAAGTGCTGTCTCCAGGAAGGATCATTCTATTGATCGGAATATAATCCTAAAAGTACTCCGTCTACAGGCTCCAGCAATCTTTTCCTGTTGAAATGTTGACATTTTTCTCGGAGCCAGTATTTATAGCTCCACTTTGCATAAGTACGGTTAAATTCCTGGTCCACTTAGTTTCGGGCATTCAACTTTCAGCTATCATATTTGCATTATCTCGATGCTGTTTTTACACCATTTATTATTTATGAAACCTGCGAGTGTTATTCGTTCCTCTTTTCTGTTTTCTTCTGAAGGTGCTGCGTATTTTGAGCATTGGTATACCTGCACAGTTTGTCCATTTTGATAGAGGGGCTTAAGTAAAATATAGGTAGTTCAATTACCAAGAACTTTTGGATTTTAGGGCCTCGTAAAATAGGTCTAAGAGTGTTAGGGTCTCCTCTAGCATGAGCGAAAGGGAATATACGCCTGAAGAGATATTGGTACTTGACTGAACCATTTGTTTACTTTCCATCCTCCATCCTCAATCTCATACACAACCACACACTCAAAATTGAATTACTATTTTATTTTTTAGAGGGTCATAAGATAGACGCGCAGTTTTCTCCACATTTTGAGGAAAGAGACATTTCTTCGTAAAATATCCTGTATCTAAGAGATAACATTATGTCATATTTATTATAAGGTCTCTACTTTGAGCCTCTTCTCTCCTCCACACGAGTTTTACCCCTATATTTTGCTTTTCATTGATTTTACATGATTTTTGTTTTATTTTTTTATTTTTTTACCATGACCTGCGAGAGTCAGTATCGTCGTGCGACGCGCGGAGGTTTTGCATTCGAAGAATATTATGTCGCTCCGCAAGAAATGCGTCCGATGATGAACTTTTCTTCAGTCTCTTTTTATAAAAAATGTATTTTTTCCCGCACTGAGTGATCTGTCACAAATCACAAACTCAGAAGAATTCCCAAAATTAGAAAGCCCAATTTTAAAGATTAAAAATTTTGAACACTGCCTTTGTAATACTATATGTAATGTGGGAATGGTGGATTCAAATAATTGGATTGATTTTCACTTCGAATTGAGGGTGTGTGGTCTCGAGTACCTAAATTTTCAGACTACGCTCGCCTCTTAACTGCAGAACTACGAATACCCGTCATTTTCGTACCGACGTTTTCTCAAAGCTGTGCGACAAAAGGAAAACAAGAACTTAAGCTATGATGTCTAAACTTAGGGATTTTTTAAAAAAAAAATTCACAGCCAGTTTTGAAAAGAGTGAAAAAGCGTAACTTGAATTAAAATTTTAAGTGAATGTTCAAGGCTTTTATTTTTTAAAAAATGTTTGTTACGGTAGTTGCTGCTTTGAGAACGATTTTAATTACAATTTCGTGGTATGCGCACTTACCACGTATCTCCAAATTTTTCAAGATTCATCGTAGAAACTATTAACATGGAAAGCCACTGAAATCGAAAATATTTTCGACCCCTTGGCGTATCGTCTCAACAAACTTTCAATGTATTTTTTTTTTTCCTTCATCAATATCCGTTTGCGCACTCATCGCGTTAGTAAAGGGGTAGAAAAAATTGATTTACTGTGCTAACTTTTTTACTCACTGTGCATATTTTTCTTCTTCTTCCATTTTATCATTGTTTTCTTTGGTGATATTAACTACCTTACCTACATCTAAAAATGTTCCAGCCCACACTGAAGAAAAAAATACGATCATAAGGACAAAATGTACACAGTGTTTAATATCGGCCGTGTTTTTCGGTTCATGCGACCGCTCGCTCGGTCCCTGGAACCGGTTCATGCAACCGAGCTTTTTTGATGATTCCGTTCAGTTTGAATGCTCGGTTGCATGAACCAAAGATACGGCTCCTGGAAACGAGAGATCAACTACATGAACTGAACAATAAGGCTGATATTGAGCACCGTGCATTTGGTTCATATGATCAAAGTTTTTTTTCTCAGTGCAACATAACCCGCGCTGGGTGTTTTTGTGCGATAAGAAAACCAAATTTAAAAAAAACTCACTTTTCACATTTTTGGCCTCGGAAGTGCAGGGGCCCTTGTTTAAGAAGCACTTGAGATAGTTGGTGAGTATCCGATCGTTATTGAGGACCTTCTCCACATCGACAGCCTCCATGCGTTTGAGCGCCTCCTTCATCGTCTTTGGCAGCTCCTCGGGTTTCTTGCCGAGCGCCTCCTCGACGGACTGTTTTCGGGGCGTCGATGCCGGTCCTTTCTGCGGCAAACCGGTCACCAGAAGCACCAGCGAAGTAACCAACAACAACCTGAACATTTTTCTAAAAACTTCGGACGTGCACTGCGAGAAAACGAACGTCAGTTGACTCCGATCGGGTAAGCACTGAAAGAAAAACTGGTTTTGCCGCGGTGGTCACTCGTACAGGGCATGTTTTCAGGGATATTATTAATCTTCCCCCTCCCCCGCCCCCATGACGATCGGTGGCGGGAAAATCAGCGCATTCTGAATCCAAGGTGACGCACAGTGTTCAAAAAGTTACTGCAAATCGTAATATCTGTGTTAGAGGAGTTTATGAGTGGGGGCCAGGTACAAACGGAGCAAGTAGGATCAAATGGGTGCAAAGTCTTCTGCCAATTTTCATAGATTTTAACTTAAATTTTGGCATTATGCATTTTTTTAGCTAAAATTTAAATTACAGTTCGAGATCAGTATGATGCTCAATTTCAAGTCAAACTCGATCATCTAAATGGGAAAGAATGGATTCATACTATTTTTATATTTTCTTTTTTCCACCGTAATAATTCCTGTTTGGATTCATGCTCTTTTCATCTGAAGTTCAGGGATCAGTACGATTTGGCCCAATTTCAAGTCAAACTCGATCACCTAATGGGAAAAAATGGAGTTATGCCATTTTGATCTCATCGTTTCTACAATAATAATCCCCGTTTAGATTCATGCTCTTTTCATCTGAACACTTCAAAGGCGTTCTTTTAATTTGTTATGGAGTTTTAGTATTTAACGTTGAAGGAGATTACTTTTGTAAGTTATGTAGTGAGTTCATTTTTTTCAGTTCTAATATATTATTCTAATACTATCAAAATTTTTAAAAAATTCTTCCCCTGAAAATTTAATTAGTTAAATATATTTTTACTGCTTTGGTTGCGGCTTAAAAAGCAATTTTGATTGATGAGACTGACTTAACGGGTCGATGGTTAAACTCAAAAAATGCGTAGCTCCGATTACGACGTTGCAAATTTACGCTCATGTTTTATTTCTTTAAAAGAAAAGTGACAAAACATACCGTGCTCAGGAGAAACGCCGTGAGAATATGCAGACATTGCTGAATGCGTGTCTCCTGATGAAAAATCGAATTTCCTTTTGAAGTTATAGACTTTTTTTCATAGAAATCGTCCGATATTCGCCCCGCCGCATCAAAAAACTTGAGAGCAAAAAAACTTTTCTCAAAAATATATGTTTTTTCAGTGTAGATTTTAAATGTTCGTACGATACTCGCCATAATGTTTCTTTGGCATGGCAGCACTAGCTCTCCTCAATTTCCTCTATTTCTTTCAAACCCATCAATTTTCTTCAAATTCTCAAATTATTCCATTTTTTATTTTTTCTGCTTTCTATATTACGCACAATTTCAAGGAGATATTTTGTTTTCCTACGAATGCAATGAAACGAATTCGGACATTTTTAAAAATCGCCACGGAAATACGTATTTTTTATCTTTGATCATCGATTTATATAAGCTCATGTGCGGTTGCGAGGATTAGTGCATACGTCTTAGATTTACAGAAGTCTGAAAATGACCCTGTAATTTACCAAAGTTTGGCGTCATAACTAGAACACTCTGTTGATCTCAGCCACGGTCACTTTGCTCTTCAAGGCATTTATCCCCCCTCTCTCCCTCCGGAACTGTTCGCCCTTATAATTACAGCAGCGTAAACGCACATCTTTCGGATTATGTACCACATCCTCCTCGTACCACTGACTCGCACACTTTTCGAACTCTTAATAGCTGATGCACATATGTGATTTTTTAATGCTGCACAGCAATTCTGCCGTGCTAAGGAAAAAAGCCGTATGAGCATTCGAGTGTTGCCAAATTTTCTTCGATAAAATGTCTATTTTCGAAGAAAGCTATGAATATTTTTCCTTTAAATTTTCAGAAACTTTGGGTCAAATTACGAATAAAATTCTCTGAAAAATTGGAAGGAAAATATTTACAAATTTACCGACAATTCGTGATTTACCAAAGGAAATTTGGCGACGTCTGAAGGTTCATACGGCGTTTTCCCACAGCACGGCAGAATTCTTCGATGTATAGCATGGAATGTTATATCCAGCGATACATTGTAAGCAGGTGACTTAATAATGACATGATTTCAAGAATTACTGCGCGTAAACTCGTGAGCACGAGTTTCTCACATTGACTTTTAAAGATGACTGATTTGCAAGCATTATTGGAGTCGCTATCAATAGGTAGAAAAGCAAGCGCTGGTGAAAAAGTTGATAAAACCACAGTGCTTGGATGTATATCCATACAGACGCAGAAGCAGCTGCACATACGCTAGAATTTTTCAGAAAATTTAGATCGCAAAACAGCAAGATGAACATGGCAGAGTGAGGAAATTTTACGCTATGATAGTGTTTAAATGAAAAAAAAAAAAAAAAAANAAAAAAAAAAAAAAAAAAAAAAAAAAAAAAAAAAAAAAAAAAAAAAAAAAGTATAAGAGGCAAATTATCACCCATGCAAACATTGAATTTGCCCCCCCCCCTCCCCTTTCCTCGCGTAAATAGAAAGAGAATGAAGAAATAAGAAGATTAAGAATAAGAAAGAGAAATAGGAGAAAAGAGAGGAAGAAGAGGAAGAAAAAGAAGGAGGAGGGGGAGGAGAAGGAAAGGAAGAAGATAATGATTAAAAGTAAGATGGAGGAAAAGGAAAAGAAGATGAAAAAGAGGGGGAACTAAAAACAGTGGGGAATCGCTGAAAAATTACAAAAATAATGAAAAAAGAGACACGATGGATTCTGTTGCCCCTGCAACAGGCGCACGACACGATTGCTTACTTACATTTTGTGCCTCTAGCGATGGGCCTGAAATTGACCGCTCGATGCCCAGATTCTGCCCACTGAGTGTCGAGCTTCAGCTTGGGTTTTTTTTTTCTTGATAAATTGAACGAGATGCGGATAAACAAACATTAACACGGAGGCTGGCCTCAGTGATTACTTCTCATTACCGAATGGAAAATGGGGAATCAAGAGCGTCCAAAATGTACTTAATGACCAGCTCGTTGCGATCTTCCTCTGGGTCTTGAGGAGCGATCCGGCATTTTGGTGCTCGGTTATTTGGACACGTATTTATGCTAAAAGGAACTATATGCATATGGTTTGCGTGTAACATGGTTCCTTTTAGCATAAATACGTCCATTCTAGGTTGGCACGTTGAAGATCAGGATGAGGATAGCGTGTTCAATTAGGCCAGAAAATTGCTCTCTATACGGGGATATCAAGTTCAAATGAAACCTAAAGACTTTTGTATTCGCGGCATCATCACTGTCTGTATTTTTGCGAAATGGTTTTACCTAGTCAATTTGTAAGTTATTCCTGAGTTGGGTCTTATTTTGAAAACCTTTTCGCGAAGGATTTTGAAACAACGAAATCTATATGTCGATGTATAAATTTGAACATCGTGGATCTCTAATTGCGACGTTGCAAATCTTCGCAAGTATTTTATTTTGTGAAAGAAAACTGACCAAAAGTTAAAGCTTTGAAATCTGTAACTTTTTTTCACTCATTTGAACGTATTTACAGAAAATTCCAAAGAATTATTTTTCTTCAAAAGTATAAGAAACACGATTAAAAATTTTGAGACATTGTGATGCGAATGCGTATTTGCAAAAAGAAGTTGGACAGAATAAACCGCAATGATCCTGAACATATTAGACGTTGCAAAGTTTCCTCTCATGCTTTACATTGTAAATCCCCAAGGTATGCAATATCACCGGCTGCGATAGGATTGCGCGAATGTCCCCCTTTTTCCCTTTTTGGAGATGCACAGGATTGCGCGAATTTTTCCGGCACCGAAAACTCACATGTTTGCGCGAATATTCAATATTCAACGAGGAAGCGTTAATATGACAACCTTGGTAGTTTGTGGTAGATAACTACATCGCGGAAAGACTCTTCATTCCCTCCTCACTTATGGGCATGCTTCTCTTCGATAGATACCTAGCTCTTGCAGCACGAATGGCCTAGAGAGCTTTCATAAACATTTGGAAAGTGAAGTAGGGGCCTGCGGAAGCCACGCGGCCGCCAACCACTGCAAAAAAATACACGAAAAAAATCGTAGAACAACCATGTTCACGTTTTTTATAAGAGGTCGATGAATGGATGCAAAACCCGGCGGGTGCACCCGAAGGAAAGCGTATATTTATCTTCGATAGCAACGTTAGACACCGCTTTTATGCTTTATTTTTAATACATGTTTTTAAACAGCTATATACTCATTTTTTCTAAAAGGTTTCCCTGAATTTATCTAAATTATCTCAAATATAAGTATCGAACATTTTGAAGCGATATTTTCGTTCGATCTATTTTATTTTAATGTAACCAAAAAAATTAAATATCATTCGATTTTTTGAATCGTTACAATGAGGATACATATTTTCCCTTTAATTGTGGTAAAAACTGGAGGAGAAATTCAAGAATGACGATACGCAGTGCTACAGCATTCCTACAGTCTTGTAGGCGCTAATATGCGTTACACGCCAATCGATCGACTGCACCGCGTTTGACGCAATGCGAGAAGTATTCATGCAGTCTTGTAGGCGCTAATATGGGCTTGACGACGACCGCTCTGTTTGGCGCAATGCGTGAAGTATATCTGAAGTCTTGCAGGCGCATACGTTTAATGCCGACCACACTGTGTTTGGCGCGATTATTCGAACTCGCGGTAGAATAATCGCTGCATCGAATAATAGAGCTTAAAAGGTCCATGTTGTGTTGCGACGCCGTTATGAGCATTTCAACGTTGCCTCATTTCTTTCGATTGAATATTTTTCCCGAGCAAAGTGGGGAAAGTTCTTTATACCCACGACCATTATTCAATCTTTTCACCTAATTTATCATAAGTAGGTAAGGCATCGATGACTTGTCAACAAACTAACCTAGCGTCAACAAAAAAATGCGTTTATTTTCCAACTGTTTCCTGTTTTAACGAACTCCATTTTAAATTGGCGCATTCCTGTTGCAGATGTTAAGGTTTCTATTCGCGCAATCCTTGTGCCTTTTTCGCGTAATTCTAATATATTTTCTTAGACCTTTTGCGTAATCCTGGATCACCGATATCTCCATCGTAACGTTTAAAAATCAGTGATCATGTTTTATTTTTCTCAAGGGGTGCGAATCAGAATACTTCCTTGCGATTTTGTGTCTTTTTTTTTTGGTAGAAAATTCACTAATAATCTTAGAAAAAGCTGCTGATTTGTTCTCCTCGGAGAAAATATCAAAAGTCAGTTAAGACTTAGAACTTCACTGTAGCTAAAATGCCTGATCATTTTTCGACTTTTAGCCATATATTATTTGTATTTTATACCGTTCCTTAATAGTATGATATTGTATAGGTAGGTAGTTGAAAAAAATGCATGAGAATTCTCAGCATCTGGAGTTTTTAATTTTCTTCCCCTTCTAAAATTATCATGATTATTATTTCATATCTGAGTAGGAAACATATTTTCTAATAAAAATAAATTCTCACATCTATGTTAAAAGCCAATAATTATTTAACCACACATCGTATAGTGTCGCGTCGCGTCGCGCGTTAATGGTGTATGCCGTCAAATTGAAATTCCCGCCTGAAGTTTCCCGCTCCTCGTCCTTTCCCGCCATTCAGCACCACTAGCGACCTCTACTGGACTTCACTAGACACGCCCGCTTATCAATAACATAACCTCGCTTATTCCGTGCTTTTGAATAGTCTTGGAAATAATTACCATTTGACCATGAAGAGGTTTTGACATTGAATAATGTTTTTATCAGTTCATTTTTTCCTTCAAAAAACCTCAAAGACTTGTGAGTTTTAAATAAATTCTTAATCAAGTTCATTACTATTCATAGCTTTTGTTTTTAATCGTGATCAAATACAACCAGGTATCGTTCGATAGAATTGCATTATAATTGTTCATCTCATCAATTTCTTCAAAGGAATTGTAAGAGTAACATCATTAATATAAAGCAGTTATGTGCCTCTGCAAGGAACCGTCTTTCTATGTGATACTGGAGTCAAGAAAAGTGTCAGACAAGTGATAAAAGCTATTCTGAGTGCACCTGGTAAGATTCGTTCTTGAGATTGCATGGTACACTGTGGTTTGTCACATAGCCACCTATTTAATGGTCTAAGGTATACAATTTTTAAAGGGTATCAGATTTTGACGAATGTACAAAAGAAAATCTATCATTTAAAAGGACAGAGAACCTAGTGAAGCGATGTTAGTGTGCACGCGAAGAAAGAACCCAATAAGACTCTGCTTTGAATATGGGACAGAAGCATTTTCAGCTTTGAATCGATCCACTCTGCTACAAACCAGAGCATTGTGCAATTATTAAATTGTTTTACTATTTTATGAGATTAGTAATGTATAGAATTGTCTGGAAATTATTCTGAAGCTGAAATTATATTGTACGTTATGTAATGAACTCTTGAGTCATGCTGGAACATAAAGAATACCAACGTCTCCCTAGCATGAAAATGTCTGACTAATTAGTTATCACCCTGGGGTTTCAGTTACCTCTTAATTTAAACAACCATGATTACCTATTTACTAACTTCTCTCTGTAAGAAACACAATTGCACATTGTCACAGAGGATTTGCAACTTTATCTCTGAAGTCATAACTTTTCTAGTTTCACCTTGAACTATGTCGATGTCGCATTCCACAATGTTTTTTTTTTTTTTTTTTTTTTTTTTTTTTTTTTTTTTTTTTTTTTTTTTTGTAATTTCTATGAGTCTATTTCCATAGGGTACACTACTTAAAATAGTTCCTGAGGTGAGGAAAATTCGTGCTCTTATCTCTAGAACGTTCAGTTAAATTGAACTGATTAATGAATAGAAAATCCAGAAAATGAAAGGCCCAATTGATGTATGAAACTATTTTATATGAAGTAAATTTTCACAATTGCAGTTGTCGGAGTGATAAATTTATCTATCAATTTTGCCAAATTTGCTTATTAGTACGTATCTTACACTGAATATTGATTCCAATGTTCTCTCCTTGCGTATTGAAGTTCGGAAGGAGTACGGAGATGACCCATTCAATAAATAATTCAGCCACAAGTATTCTAAACATATGCAATACAATGGTATCGAAAATTTATCAATTAATTTAATTAAATTATTTCAGAATCTCAAATGTCTTAGGATGCTAAGAACTGTTTCTAGTCTTCATTTATCCGAGATCCACCAGTTACTCAGAAATAATGCAAATATTTTTCGAAGTTCCTCCTTGGTCCACCACTGCTCCTGTCTGTCGAGGTAAGGAACTCCTCTTTTTTGGAACCCTCTTGAGGATTCCTCCATCCACAGGAAGGAGAGAACACCCCATATATGTCATGGATCAGGCATACCTGCCTGCACAAAATTATTTTGGTCTTTGATAGTCGTAATCACAAATTTAGAGGCTGATTAGTGGAAAATATAACAGATTAATGCATGATATAAGGAAAAAAAGACCTCAAGAGATGATGCTTTAGAGTTTTTACAAATATCTACTTGAAAATTTTCTGGAAAAATGTCACGGAAGAGAATGTACCCAGGTAATGGTTAAGTAAAACAAATATGTTTGTCTTAACTGTTCCAAGATTTTTTTCCAAAGAAATTAAAATGCTTCAATATGTTCAGCAGTTACGAGACGGGTATTATTCTTCTGTAGCCATGAAAAAAAAAGTTCAAAGTTATTTTGTGTTAATGGCAGTGTTTGTTGAATAGAAGGGTGCAGAAACTTCATAGCCATCCCAATTTTTGAATTGGCCCTCTCATTTGAAAGAATCCTCTCTTAGAAACATTTTCAAATGAATGACCTTTTTTATTCAATTTTTTTCTTTACCTCAACTAAATAGTCGTTTCTATGAAGATAATGGTATTTTTATGCTGGCACAAGCTGGCCTTCCCATTTTCAATACCTACCAAAGCCCTTTCATTTTTGCTCACTGCTGAACGCGACTGGCTGATTGCATTCAAGAAGTTTCTACATTCTTGATGGAATAAAATCATCTGTAAATTGTAAGTGTCTGGTGTTTGACTTTCACTTGAAGGTTTATCTAAACTTAAAAAAAAAGAATCACCATTTATCCCCTTACAGAATTAAAGCATGACAAAATCTAATTTCATCCTTTGATTTAGGTACCCATTCTCCGAGTCACATTAAGTCCCTCTCCTCTCTATTCTAAAATTGGATTTATGGTGTTTTTTTTTCTGCTGCTTTTCCGTCTTTTATGTTTACAAAGTTTTTTGTTTTTTTTTCCTAAATCTTACCCTTCAGGTCCAGGGTTTCAAATCCACATGAAGATGGTAATATATCAAGTGCTAAATCCAACCTAACTCTACCAGGAGGCTTGAAGCTACACTACTCAGATCTCAGTTCAACCAGACCAAGTGATGGAAAGCTTCCGGCTGCACAGTTCAAGATAGGCAGCATCGCATCCCATCTTGTGGAAAATTCAAATAGTTTTATCAAGCCCTATCTTAAACTAATGAGGGTTGATCGGCCCATCGGTAAGTTTTTAAGTTCAACATGCAGCAGTTTGAAATGTGCTTTTGAGATACCTAATATTTTGTGTATTTGTGTAAAAGAGAAACTGTGATCATTTCTATTATATGTTATTAAAAGGCATGTTTTTGTAGTACGAACCCAGGTCTGATCATATTAGATGCTCTGTGGTTGCCCTCAATTCACACCATAAAAGAATGACCAAAATACTTGTTACAGTTCTGGCTAACAATGCTTTATACTCTTTGCTATTCTCTATTCTCTATGCTATTCTCTATTCTCTATGCCATTTCGATGGTGTAAATCAGCCATCACATAACTCGTTTGCGGTGTGTAAAAATCTCCGCCTCTGTTATTTTTTAAGGAGAACAAATTGACATCATTCCATAAAGTTTATGCAGAATTTTCGCACAGAGAAAAAAATTCACAGCAGTTTTAAGGAATTGCCATTGAGTAGTTTTCCGTTTAAAAAATAGAGTATGACAGGAAGTCTGCGATGTCACAAACCGAGTTATGTGATTACGGACTTACACCGTTGATTTACTCTTTTATACATTCAATAATATTCATTGGAATAAAGCCTCTGTGCTGGTGAGGTCACCAATGATTTCTGGAAATTTTTGTAATACTTTTAGATTAATCCTCAACTAAGTACTTTAATAATTATTACAGAGCTCGGCAACATGCCATTTTTCTGCAGTCCAAGACCGTCATGTAAAAAACCTGCCACAGGCAAGCAATTATTATGCAATTATATTTTTATTCAAACATTATGTTAAGTTGAGAAGTGAATTCTTTTGATTTTCACAGGTTCCTGGTTATTATTTTGGCCTGGTGGTTGGAGTATTGCCCTTGCTGCAGCCCCTGGTTCTTTGCCTGATTTTACTCTTTTGGCTCTTTTTGGCCTTGGTGCAGTCACAATGAGAGGAGCTGGTTGCACCATCAATGACATGTGGGATAAAGATATCGATGCAAAAGTAAGTTGTTAGGGTCAAGTTCTTGGCAGTCACTATATTTTTTATCATACAAATGCAATGAGGAATTTTTTTCCTCCCCTTTTTCGCAATGAAAAAGAATATAAATAATAAGACAAAAATTTTCATTATTATATCCCTATTTTGTCAAAACCAGAATCAACCTAAAATCAAACAAAGCCTCTTCTGAGGAAAGACTTATATCTGACGAAGTTTCAAAAATCCAAAACTAGAGGCATGCTAATCTACTGAAGAACACATTAATGAATAATTTTTTGGAAATTAGGAATCAACTCTGTCAGTGGCGAGGTGTGAATGGTCAATCATCAACATTTCTCCATTTCAAGCTATGGTAAAAGATCAATTATTAAGTTGTTTGTTGCAAACACCCTGTTTTGGGAGATGAATTGATGTATCGCAAAGCACGCCATGCCACTGAACTCTGTGCATGTAAGTAATGTAGTAATTATTGGTAAAGTTAGAAATTTTGATTGAGCTAATGAAACATTATATCTGGTTTTGTTCACTAATAAAATACCCTACAAGTAAGATCTAATTTTAGCTCTAGGAAACAGGATAATGGTCATCAGTTTTCAGTTAAATCACAGATTAGATTTATTTTAATTGTTTCAATTTATTTCCAGGTCAGTAATTTATGTATCTGAACATAAGTAAGACTACCATTGTGAATTGAAAAACTAACTTGGTGTGTTTCTGATGTGCTGAAACCAATTTAATTTGAAAAATGTATGAGATTGAAAGAAATAATCAAATGATAGATGGATACAACAAGGAAGCAGAAAGAACCTGCACATACCAATTGAATAAAAATTGCTGCAATTTTGCAAAAAAAAAAAAAAAAAAAAAAAAAAAAAAAAAAAACACCGATGCACACTGTGAATTTACCGAAAACACGTGACTTTAAATTTCATGCGCATAGCTTTTCAATTCTTAGAACTTTGTGTTTAGGGCTTTTTAATTTTTACTATCAGCTGACCATGACCTGTTGGTCGCGTTGTTCAGAAGTGTCTGCACCTCTGGGATATGATACTGTACCTTCCGCACTTGATTTAGATCACTGAATTGATTGATTTATCCAACTTTGCCTAATGAACATTTCTATGAAAGAATGAACATTAATTACTCATGAGCTTATTTCCTCATAATGTAAATGGTTTCATAGCCATCTTGGCAGATTTTTAATCACCTCACATCATCAATTAAATTTGGATTGCCATGGTTTTATTACAAATATTTTCAGTCAGCACAATAACCATTTTATTTTTTAATCAAAGATTACAACTGGATAGTCAAAAAACTTATGTCCTAGCAAAGGGAATGGGGATCTCAATTAACTTTTGATGCCCTATTAATAAACAATTTCCCTCTTATTTTTGTTCTCAGGTCAGTCGAACGAAAGATAGACCTCTTGTACAAGGACAGATCTCTCAGTTGGATGCACTTGTATTTCTTGGAGGCCAGCTAGGAGTGGGACTTCTTATCCTGCTTCAGTTGAATTTGTACAGTATTGTCCTTGGAGCTTCTTCTCTAGGTACGGATAAATGAAATCACCTCCCTATGGTCCTGAAAATTCTATTCAAAATCCATGATCCAAAATTAAATCATACAATAGAGGGTTAATACTGAACCAAAAAAAACATGGAGTCAATGATGTTTTAGGCATTTCAAGTGTAACTGGTCGTAAGACTGGCAACAGCATTAGTAAACTTTAACAGTGGTTTTCTCGAATTCTCGTTTTACGTCCTTGAACTTTGAGTTACTGTCAAAGGGTTGGCAACATAATTTGGACCATGATATTTGCAATTTTCTTAAAATTTCCATCCAAACATGTAAGTAATGCTAAATTTTATGGAGGCCAGACTCTATACTTGCTCAGAACGTCATGGCATCAGTCCCATTGGAGAAGTCCATTCACAACTATTCCAAGACTGTAGCATCATGGAAATTCTAAATATTTGCACCCAAATTGAAAGTTTTTTAGTGTATCACCATGATCATTCCGTTTCCGCTCTATGGTTTCTTTTTTCAAAAAGTAAATTAATCTTAAGGTGTGTTTATTGTTCTTAGATCAATTTTATCGTTAGAAACTTTAGAGCGTTTTATTCTGATTGTAATTTCTTCCTACTTTTTTCTTCTCTTTTCAGCACTTGTGATTAGTTATCCACTGATGAAGAGGATAACGAACTGGCCTCAACTGGTCCTCGGAATGACTTTCAACTGGGGCGCACTTTTAGGTTTTTCAGCTGTGCAGGGCTCTTGTGATTGGTTCCTTTGCCTTCCCCTCTATGTAGCAGGTGTTTGTTGGACTGTGATCTATGATACCATTTATGCCCATCAGGTAAATGCAAGAATATGATATTTTAATACAACCGTATCAAAAATGTATGTTTCTTAATTCTCACAGAAGCCTCTATACTAAGACCCTCTTTACCCTCTAAGGGGGCACATCAAGCATAAAAGAATACTAAGTATGTTTTTAAAGCTCCTTTGTGCACATTAAATTTTACATCAAAATCTGATTTTTCAATCCAATTCAAAGAAAATCGTTTTACCCTCCATGGACTAAAGTACCTCTCTCCATAGATGGTTTAAATTATCACTATATTCAATTATTTATTTACTCCATGCTTATTTCAGGACGTACGCGATGATCTACAGTTAGGTCTCAAATCAACAGCCATCTATTTTGGAGACAACACGCAAAAATGGTTAAGTGGGTTTTCTGTACTTATGTTGTCTAACCTAGCTCTTTGTGGTCTGCAGTGTGACCAAACGTGGCCCTACTATCTTTCACTTTCCTTGATTGGAGCTCATCTTGCCAGACAGGTATTTTCTTTTGTTTCTAAATAAAAATCAACGAAAGGTTTTTCTCTTTTAACCTATTTTTCTCTCTATTCAGCAGAAAAAATGATTAATCTTGTCTCATTCAAAGATTCTTGCATGGTTTGGTTGACTTTTGATAGTGTGTAAAATGTAGACTGATACTCTGGCACCATGTAAATTTATCAATTTTCTATGAAAAGAACATAGTGCAAAGATTATTGACCGAGAATGGCACTCTTTTTTCCTTGAATCTCATCGAAGCGAGTATTTATCATCTACTAATTAGTGGGCTCCCCCAATTAAGAGGATTCCCTTTGAACCCAGAGCTTTTAGAATTTTTTCTGTGTCGAGATTGTTGTGCTGAAAATGATCAACATTTAAATTTGTGAGAGTTCGATGAAAAGAAGTCCTCCAGCCCCCTTGCTGGAAGCAAAGTTCTTTACTTGTGGGTAGAGCAAGAGACTTGTGAGAGAGCAACTGCTCAGCTTTTTTTAGATCAATCCTTCCCTCATGTGGTCTGTAATATTTACAGAATATCACAGAATTACTCACTAACTCCTGTTTTACGAAAGAAACAGAATGATGGAAATTTATTTCTGAAGTAAAAGGACCAGGGCCACCAGGGGGCTTCAACAGATCAGGTCCACCATGGATATTCAAATTACACGCTAAGCTGTAGGTTAAATTGGTTTTGTTGCTATGTAATCATATCATTCTGCCTCATCATTTGCACCATGTAAACCATTTTTAAACGAAGATTTTCTACCTACATAACATGGAATTGTATGTTCTTTACATGTCTTTTTTGAATTTTGAATTTTTATAGTTTTTTCTCTCTAATTTCAGATTTACACTCTAGATATTCAAAATGGTCCTGAATGTCAAAGAAAATTTGTCTCAAACCACCAAGTAGGATTAATTTTATTTTTAGGAATTGTTATTGGAAACCTCTTGAGGTCAAAACCAAAGTCTATACAAGAATTAAGCCTTGATACTGTCAGACAGTGAAGTCGGAATTTACTAGTCTTCAATTGGGTTATTAACTAAGTTTATTTGTTACCAGTGAACGTTCCCGAACGTTGAATAAATTTAATATCTTAAATGTAATTTCTTGTTGAATTTTTGGTCTCAATCTTTTTTGAAAAAGTCTACCAAAACACAGACAGGGGACTATGGCTTTAATGTTCGACTTTAATTTAAGTTCAGTGTGAATTATTCATGTTGAAAAAAAATGCCATAAATTAGCCAAAGGTGTTTTGAAAATATGGTTATAGTATCTGTACATTTCCAAAAAGGCTCAAGTGCTTCTGTTGAAAAATGCAACATTACTTGGTCTACAGAGATCCTTTATTCGACAGCTCCTAAAGCAAGGTGAATTACAAAAATCACTTTTTATATCAAGTGGCAACACATTTTGAAATATTATGTATAAAAAAGGACCACATATTTTGCACTCTTTAATAGTGCTTTAAATATGCATTGTCTAAAAAAAACAAGAGTGGAGATTTGTAACGGTTTTTATTCTAACAGAAGAAAAAGTACCTAGTTGTAAAGAAAACAAATCACGCTGTGCAAAAACTGCCAATGTCCATTTTTCCTGTCTTGAGGTATTTTTGATTGATAGTACTTTACCATAAGATAAAACCAAGAAGGCGGTGTAAAGACTCATTTTGTGGTTATTTCAGTCCCAGAACAAGCCCTTACACCACATCAAGATTGCATTGACTCTTGGAAAGTATCAATAACAAAAATAAACTCAAACCTAACAAAATAGATTTTAGCAGATTATGCACAACGTGATTCAATTGTTATTAAGTACCCTTTAAATTGAAAGCATTCTAAGACTTAATCCCTCTCTGAAACAAATGTTCTATGGATTCTAAGATTTGATAAAGTTTACTTTTTTTTGTGAGGAAATGTTCGTTACATTATTTTTTTAGTATTTATTGGTCTTTGATCTACTGGTGTGAAATGTTGCTCAGACTCAGATACCTGTGCTCTTTGCTGATAAATGTCCCCCAAAAAAAGAAAATACACTTTTTGAGTGATTAGCAAAAGTTTTCTCCATTTTCCTACCTAAGTTTTACCTAAAATCTAACTCTCCTATAAAATTATTTTCCAGACATGGCTTTCTAGGAAAAATTCTCATTTTTTCTCACTCATAATTTCAAAACTTTTGTGAGTTAAAAAATTACATCAATGGTCGGTTTAATAATCATGGATGGACCTTTGGCTAATGGACCCCGATTTTCAGATCACCCAAACTAATTTTTAGCTACTATACACATGGCATCTGACGAGAACTCACCGTGTGAAATGTAGATCTCCATCCTTTTTAGAAGAATGAGGGTAGTGTAATTTAAATGTTGGAGTTTATCAAAATTGATGATCACGCAAGCATCAAAATCCAAGAAACTGCTCGTTCCTCTGCCTCCTCATGTTTTCTTCACAGTTCATTTTGTTGTGTTCTCCTTTGAGAAGTTATGCAATAAAATTTTGGTATTTGGTCAAGAAGCATGCACCAATCACAAATCTGAGGTCTTACGACAAAGATAAAGAGGAGCCGCAAGTAGTTTCTGCATTTAAAAAAAAGTAAAAGTAAAGGAAAGGTTTTATTCCATAGCCTTGGTTAATAGTTTCATTCTTTTCCAGAACGCATGATTAGAAAAGTCTAGTCAATTCAATTTTAGGAAAAACTTTTAGCTGTGAAATGCCTTGAGAAGTTGGCAAGCAGACCATTGCCTCTGTAGTTAGTAGTTGGTCGTCTAGAGAGGAGTCTTGCTATATTCGCAAAATTTTGAAGTGCAAAAACTCTCTCCTGAAAATCTTGCTGTACTCCAGAATACTTTTACAGCGCAATGAACAAAGCTGCAAATAAAGTCTGGTCAGTAAATCTTCCGGCCCTGAGATTACCAATGCAGAGCTTATTTTGTAATGGAGCAATTTGATGGTCAAAATGAGAAATTAAATGTACATTTCAATCGAAATATATATGTCTGTAAGACTTCTAGGGAAGAAAGGGGTTATCTACCTTTTTGCTAAATAGTAACCCACGTCCAAAATGAGCTCATCTTTTCAATAAAGGACAATGAATAGCTCATGAATAAAATGGACTTGTGCTACCTTTCATCTTTGACTCAATGCAATAAAGGAGTTTCATTATTTAATTCTTTTAGACTTAAGACACAAAATGGATTGGATTCAGATCAAGCCCAGTAACTTTTTATTATAAAGTTACTGAACCATCACCGCTAGTACATGAGTTCTTGCTTGAGCTAGGAGTAAGAAGTTCAAATGATTTTTCATATGTGGTAGAAACTCACACATCTGATTGTGAATCGATAACATGATGATGATCTGTTCTGCTTGGGAAAAATAATAATTGTATGATAAGTTCTTGAATAAGACATTAATTTCTGCTTCCTCAAGTTTTATCAGTAAATATGTGTAGACTAAGGACTACGCATGGAATACCTAGAGAAATTCAGTGCTGGCTAAACTTCAATATTTCTTGATATGATTTTCCTTATGGCCTCCTGAGCACGATGATCTTTTAAAATTGAATTATCCTGTGCCAATTTCAAGGAAAAGGGGGCTGAAGAGTAAATTTTTCGGACTTTTCACATGCAGTCTAGTGAAAACTTTGCAACATCTTATTGGTGAACAAGTACATCTTTTGTTCCCTTGCGACTAGAAAAAGAAGACAGGCAAAAACAATGAAATTCCTCCAAAGGACAGTGCAGAGTCCTCATACTTGTAGCAACCATCCCACATGCCCATTGGAGAACACGCGTAAAAAGGTTGAAAAAGTCAATTTTCAGTCCTGCTTTTCTTGAGATTTGCACATTAGTCCAGGCAAACAAGGAAAAGAGCCTGCAAAAATCCCGGGTAGCAATGTTTTCATCGATTCCTATGTAATTTTTGACGCTGAATCCGAATTTCAACTTTGCGCCATTAAATTTGGACCGGTAAGTTGCCAAATTTGGCATAAATGGCCTAAAATCGGCCTTTTTTCCGGATTATGGCCTGTAACATGCTAAAAATTGATCTGACGATAAAATTAGTTATTTTCAGAAATAAAGCTCGTTAAATTTCCTATAAAAAAGTTTCTATACACTTTTTTGCTCAGGGCAAAATCAAGCGCGCTGGCGGGCTCCAAACTTTGAAAAATGAGTGAAAATTGTGTTTTTCGCGGTTTTTGCCCCATGTCTCCTGTTTTAATCGTCCGACGGGTAATTTCTGGACAAATTAATTGCAAATGATAAAATTTACACTTAGTGAAATGAATTGATGTAAATAATAAAGATAACCCAACACATTACTGTATGCGCAATTTTCGCACATTTTTCAAAGTTTGGAGCCCGCCAGCGCGCTTGATTTTGCCCTGAGCAAAAAAAGTATAGGAACTTTTTTATGGGAAATTTAACGAGCTATATTTCTGAAAATAACTAATTTTATCGTCAGATCAATTTTTAGCAAGTTACAGGCCATAATCCGGAAAAAAGGCCGATTTTAGGCCATTTTTGCCAAATTTGGCAACTTTCCGGTCCGAATTTAATGGCGCAAAGTTGAAATTCGGATTCAGCGTCAAAAATTCCATAGGAATCGATGAAAACATTGCTACCCGGGATTTTTGCAGGCTATAGCCCCTTTCATGGCTTATTTGCCTGGACTACATAGATAATTAGATCCTAAAAGCTTATAATGCTCAGGAGGTCGTAAGGCACATCATATCCAATCGGGAATTTCTTGGTATTCTGTGCATAGCTCTTTCTGGAGAAGAATAAAGTTTCGGACAAATTAAGTACTTATCAAAAATATGTATTAATTCTAAGAATGTACTATTAACATTTTGTAACAAACTGGTCAGATTACTTGACTGAACAAAACAATAAGTCAAAAACGAACTTAAAGTAAATGTACACTGGCAAACAAGAAAATTAGCATGTGATTTTAACAAAATTATTTTTGTGCTGAAGTTTCTTTTACATTTTTGCTGTCATCCTTCTTTACAGGCATATTTCTTTTTGAATTTTTCATAATTGGCTATGGTGGGGAGAATAATGAACAGGTAACCATTTTCTGTCGGTTCTTTCACCAGAAGATCTGGATTTGCTGTCAAATTCTCATTGACCTCTATCAATTTTCCTTGCACCAAAGCACGGACTTTGTACATAGTCTGATCTGCACAGTGAATCATACAAACGATGCATTTTTCCTGCAATGGTAGTTTCTGAGTTGTACTCTGTTTGAAATCAATTTTTGTTACTTCCTTGCCCTCTTGAACGATTGAGTGGTTTTTGGAAAGTGTCACAACGCAGATGCGGTTTGAGTGAAACAAAATACAATAATTATCATCGTCCATTTTGCAATAACGGGGCTCAAAGTACTGTTCTGCAATGGATTGTTTTACAACTGGCCCCTCAAAGGAATCTTCGATGGGCGGGTAATGAAAGTCAAAAGTTTCATCATGACTACTGGCCATCTTCATAGATCCTTCGAGGTCAGGAGTGCATTTTTCTACAGATGCTAATTCCATCATTGCGAATGTTAACTTTTCTAAGCTGCTTTGGACTTTTCTTTGGCGTAATATTCTGATATGCGACGTCTTGTTTCTTCGTTTCTTTGCCTTGCCTTAATGTGGTTGGCTTCTGCTTTTAAAAGTCGCTAAAAAACAAACAAAAAATTGTAAAAGTATTTTCTTAAAAAAAGACTTAACACATTTAAAAAAATTGTTGAAAACATTCCTGGTTTTAACTTGGAAAGGAGGAGTGCTTTTAGCACCTTGTGGCATTGGTGGGGCACCGGCTAAAGTTACAAGTCATACTGTTATATAAAAAGTTTTCCGTAAATAGCTGTAGAGAGTCCATATTTTTCGAAAATTATCCAATTGTAGATAGTCAAAACATTTACAAATTTCACAGAATAGGCCCCAAAACATCAAATACACGCACACACAGAAGTCTGAGCATGTTGATACCTCTCCAGGCGATAACACCGTTTTACATCATTAACAAGGTAAGTGAGAAATTTGTAGAGAATTTGAATGAAAAGGAAAAGGGGAAGATTGGATGAAAGAATAGAATCTAGGAGTCATAAATTCCTCATTCCTTAGCAGCTTCAACTCACTTTCAAGAATTATAATACTCATGAGCAATGGCAAACTTCAGTGCTTTATGCAGCCATTTTTTATCTCACTCCTATAATTTTCAACAAGAATCAGAATGTTTTTGCACACACCTCTTTTTTGAAACAATTCTTCATCATACGGTAGGAGTCTTCACAATGTCCAAGCCACTTGATGAAGCCACTCTAAAACGAAAATAATAATTGTAAGTATCCAAGACAAAATATTTACTTCCGTGAAGGAGCTGACTGTAAACGTGGAAATTTAAGTGAAAATGAGGAATTTTGTTTACTTTTTGATTATTTAGAATCCCAAGCTACAGTCAGCTGATAAAGATAGGAGTCAAGGAACAGTATCATAGCTGACCTTGCAGCTGGTCGGTTTTGGTTCTGTCAATTTGAAAAATGGGGGTGCTGCTCAGACATGGAGGGGTAGACATTACGATTTTTTATTTTTCTTTTGCTAACAGAGATATCACACGGCATAATTTTGGCACAGAAAACGGTGCAACTTAATTTTTTATGAACAGAAAAAAGTTGAACAGTCAATTTGTAGTTACATTGTAGATAAGTACCCACAGACGAGGACTGTAGTAGCTTCGGCGGTGATTCCTGAAACCCAATTCAAATGATTCAATTTTTCATCTAACTTCTTCTCAGAGTCTAATAATTGGACAATTTTCCTTCTTAATTCACACAGTAAAAAATTTTATCTAATAAAGTTGGAAATGATTTGAGTGAGAAGTTAAATCGTATGAATTGGGCATGACATTACAGCAAAGATACAATCTTTATTTTTAATTTAATTAAGGAATTATTTTTAAGTTATGTGCTAAAATATCTGATTGGTCTATCATTGGGTACACCTTAAATAGATTGGAACCAGACCAAATTGATGGCGAAACTGCAGAGATGCGTGTCTCGGTTCGCAGTGATGCGCACTTCCGATCATACTTAATTTTCTGCGAGGAAAACTGGCGAATGTCTTTTTTTCAAAACTCCAGTGATTTTTCTTGTCTGTACAGAAATTATTCTGTGAAAATTTCAAGCCATGATGTTGATTTGGTTTCTTTCTAAGAAATGAAATAGTGGTGGAGATATCGAAACACTACAACCAAGATACACATTTTTGCAGTTTCAGGGTCGATAGCATTTCCATGAGAAATCAATTTCTGATAGAGCGGACGCATCGTATGTTGAGACAAAAGTCAAGTATTGTTTAGGTCACCACTCATCAGTGGTGCCATATGACTGCATGTATTAACCTATTGAGTGGTGCTGATTCGGAGGTAATCAGAGATTGACATTTGTCTCAACATACAATGCGTCCGCTCTGACTCCTCAGTGAAACAACTGACTAGGAGTACAAGTCTGGTTGACAGATAAAAAGAGATGAAATCAATTTGCTTACTTACTTCCTCGATACAAGTGAAATATGTTTTTGCAAATTCATTACATTCGTCTGTGTGGAGATGAGCCTGCGGAAAAGACATTTGGGTACCGTACACGTGTGTTGAGATTTCCTAGCTGTACTGAAAGTGAAGAAAAGTTGATGGATTACTTAAAGCTTCTAGACGAATAAGGTAGAACATGTACAGTGAGAGTTGAAGTGACATGTGGTTCTGGCACCAAATGGCATTTTAGCTCAGGACATTCTACACTTGGTTAGGTAGCTGATTTTGCGAGGATCTCTTCTTAGGACAGCAGCAAACACGAGAGACACTAAAAACTATTAAACAACTAAAAATTGTGAGGCTGTGATATTTGCTAATGAGATTTACACGGCCATGAGTGATAAGTATTGGCCCAACCAAGAAAGCAGGGCTGCCGATACTCGGACTCACATTTCGCGAATTTTTTACTCACACGCTACTCACCAATCTAAAATTTACTCACTTGCTACTCACTGATCGCGATTTTACTAACCGTTCTCAATTTTACTCACTTTTTACTCACCATTTCCCGATTTTACTCACATTGACATTGTTTTCACTCACCGATTACTCACCGTTCCAAATTTTACTCACCGATTACTCACACAAATCGCGCCAAAAATGGAGAATTACTGAGAATTACCCATGGATTTTGCATTACTCACGATTACTCACGGATCGTCGGATTACTCACCAATTACTCATTACTCACGTTTTACTCACCGGTGCTCAAATTACTCACGATGTGAGTAATTACTCACGAATCGGCAGCCCTGGTTGAGGACATTACATAACCTATAAAGACTGTGATGTTGTGGTGTTGTTCGATGTTTTGATAAACAGTTCATTTTCTTGTTTCCGGTTCAACTCAATCCGACAGGAAACGGAAGTTCAATCGCAAGCAGTAGATGAGGGGCGCCGGAAACGGAATTATACACATTAAATAAGTACTTAAATTATTCAGAATAAAGTGGCAAATTCTAAAAATAAACTCCCAAACTTCGTGATTAGGAAAAACCGATTTTTTAGGAGATAACGAGAAAACTGTCTATATTCCTCATCCTGAAGTATAGGCAGAGGGGAAATGCTTCTTGGAGATTGCAAGGGTATTGCATTGACTTATAATGCATCAGTATCCCACAATATTCCCATTTTCTTAGGAATGACGGCCGAAAAATCGAAATACGTGTATTTAGCATTTAGAACTGAGAATGTACGAGTGAGGGCAGGGTCGGACTGACTCGCATCTGAGGGCGTAGACCCTTAGCTGGTTAAAGGGGCGTAATGTGATATTTCCTGGTAGGGCATTCCCTACGTGGGGAGGGGTTCAGAAAAGTTTGGCAAATCAGCACAAGTTTACGCTACTTTCAGGTTCAAAGTTTATTGATAGCACGGAGTAAAAATTGTAAAATTGAACGTGAAGCACAGCATTGAGAGCTCACGCTCGCGTCATCGCGCCTTCAATTTTTCAGATGCAGCACGGATGTCCATCAAGTACGAATAGTTGTATCTCTGCGCCGTCGTAAACATGCATCCTTTCCCTCCTTCTTTTTCCATATTGTGTTTGTTTCCGTTTGTCTTATTCGTAATGGTGCTTCAAGCAGTACGTGAGTAATGCAGCCGAAGGTAGGAGAGATGTCTTTAGGCCTTTTTTAAACGTTTCTCCCGAATCAGAGCGACGCTTCATTGACAGCATAAAGCAGAGCATTGAGAGCTCACGGTTCTCGTCATCGCGCCTTCAATTTTTCAGATGCAGCACAGACGTCCATCAAGTACGAATAGTTGTATCTCTGCGCCGTTGTTAACGCGCATCGTTTCCCTCGCTTTATTTCCATATTGTGTTTGTTTTCGTTTGTCTTATTTGTAATGTTGCTTCAAACTAGAACAGAGCATTACGAGTTTACGACTCGCGGCATCGCGTCTTACATTTTTCCTATGCAATGAGGACATCCATCTTGCGCGAATAGTTGTATCGCGTTTACATTTTAGAATTCTCTTATTTTTGAATTTAGAGATAAATTAAGGTTAAGTCTGCCTAAGCTATGCTATGGTATGTTCAAATCAATAGTCATTTGAAAAGGAGGAAATATGTTTAACGGTTTCTTAAGAGGCCTATGAAGGATGCATATCTGTCTAAATATTGAACTGACCATCCCTTCTAAGGGAGTTACATATAGCGAATGAAGGAGGGGGATGATAAAGCGCCAATATGTCAAGAAGAAGGTGAAAATTTCACAGAAAATTGTTTACGCTTCAGAAAGTAGTTCTTTGACTTCTGTTCACCACTAACATGCGTTAAAGCACATTTCTTTACTCCTAACTCTCTCTTCTTCCGTTCAATTAAGACATTTTTCTCACATATTCTCGGTTGTATTTTTTTTTTTTCCTCTTATTTTGCTATCTGTAAGAGGGGCGCGTTTTCAGCGCGCAAAGGGGGCGTATCTGCCAATGGCAGATTGGCCTTATGGCCAGTCCGAGCCTGAGTGAGGGCCAATACTACACCTCGAGATCGTTTTGCGGTGTTTAAAAAACTCCGCTCCCATTTTATTTTCCTGGCGGGAAAAAAATCTGCATCGTTCCTTGGAAATTACACAGAATGGAGATGTTGCATGTGTGAGGAATTTGCGATTTGACTGTTGATTCTCATGTAAAAGTTCGCGAGAAACACGATGGTGCCACGGGTTTTCTCTGAAATCAACTCCCAAGCTTAAAAAAAGCTCTCAAGTTGAGGCCAAAATGGAGGGGATATCCCACGCTATCCTGAGAGTCCACCCATCATCAGACAACAAGACAAACATCAAGACAAACTCTCAATGCAAAGGATAGGGAGCAAATACATTAGCAGGGTTGCCGTGTTTTCAGTATTAGAGTCCCCAAATAAAGTGGCAGCCCTGTCAATGTATTTGCTCCCTATCCTCCAGGAAGGGGGACCGAATTATAAGGAACCAAGTAAAATCAAGTGAGGGCATTTGGGACATTTTGTTTTCTTGGAAACACAAATTGCCTTCAATTTACGAAGTATATAACCCGCATTGCACGGGTCCTTTCATCTGCGAACACCCCGGGCCCCTGAGAGCTAATCCGGCCCAGGTTCAAGACCGCACAGCGGATGAATCCAGCTGTAAAAATTATGCGGGATGGCTGATTCTCATAAGCTTTGATTCTCATTTGTCGTCATATTTTTTATTTATTTATTTATTTATTTTAAAAAGAAAAATGAAGATGAAAATTCTCCAACTTCAAAGAGGTCGTGGATCCAACTGAGGGAACATTCGGAAAAATTTTTTTGAGGCAAAAAGTATAAGTAGGATTTTGACGTAAAAAGAACGCTCCTGAAATCTGACGGTTCGGCTCTGAAGCATCCAGTTTGATACAACTGACGTATAACACCCCAATTTACGTTTGGTCTTATCTTATCTAATCAGAAAAGTCTACCTCTCAGTGATAATTCCTGCTGCAAATTAACTTAAGGTAATTAGTAGAGCTGGAGGAATACATTGGTTCTTAAGTATTTAATTGGCGGATCCAATTTTATGCACAGCACGTATGCGTATACTAGTCAATATCACGTGAGGCTGCATAAACAGATTTGTTGTTCAACAAAAGGCTCTCAGTTTGAAATTGAAGTGTTTTGTCAAGAGGATATGATAAAATAATAATTTTGATTTATCTTCACCGAGAGTGCTAGGTGAAGGAGGTGAAATGAAACCTCTTGAATCAGTGCTGTCCCACCATCCAACTGGGACTATTGGGAGAAGAACAAAGTGCTCCAGGCCAAACCTCACATCGTGCCGTCCGGATTATTCCGAATTTGTTAAAGGTGAATTGAAATTTTATTGATAATCTTCTTTTATTTTTTGAAATAAATCAGACAAGAACAGCCCTTTTGGTGGTAATTTTTGAGCTTGAAAAATAATTTAAAGGGCTAATCCAATTCTCGTAGACAATTTATGTCCGCTCGATGCTTCGCAGTGCCACAATTATTATATTTTTGACTGATTGTGAGGCATTATAATTTTTATTATACCTACCTTTAGGACTGAAATGAAAAGTAAAAATTTTTTTTTTGCGGAATTATTGTTGTGTTTTTTGACATTGAAGCTCTTTGGATTGATTGTGTATTCTTATAATGTCCTACATGTAGCCTTTTAAGGAGTTGTTCTCCCTATAATTGAGTGCAAAATTAAAATATCTTCATCCAAAATGACTGAATCTTTGGGAAGAAACAATGTCACATGTCCCCGGCTCATGAGTGCCGCATACAGTTGGCGCGTAGTTCCGTTTGGTAGGATGTAAAACCCCGCTTTTCCATTTCCCCATGGGAAATCAGGCCAACTTTTACATTTTTTCTAGGCAACTTTTTAGATCACACCCTATCTTTCCCACTCGTTTATAGTTCTGTTCAGCAGAAATACGTCCACTTAGCAATTGCAGACTACAATTTCTGGCTCAGTTAAAGGACAACGTATCTACCACACGTAGTTTCCCTATGCACATACGTGTTTTGACGGATGAGCCAGAAGTTGTAGTTCCTAACTGCAAAATGTAGTCCAGTTGATATTTATATTTGGCCAAGGAGAAACAAGGGAAACCAGTCGGCGCGAGAAGCGTAGAGGCTCCCCATACCTCTAGTTTGTTGATCGTATCCGCCGTTTAACGTGCGCGAATGTTTTCTTCTTCAATTTTGTGTGAAATGTTTACTTCCGTATACCTACCAGCAGAAGATATGGATAACACCAGAGCTTTTGCTTGCGCCTTTTGAATAGTTTTCTGGACAGCTACTAGATTTGCCTTCAACTGATGAGATAGGCAATATAGAGTGCCCAGAAGTGGCAATAGTTGTATGGGCAAATTCAACGAACAGCAACGTGAGCATTGACGGTGAAAGTTGAAAACTTGTATTTGCGAAAAATAAAAGCATAATAAATACGTCTAAATCAATTCATTAATTCATTATTAGAGGAAGCAATGAGATCATAAATGAGTTCTGTCGTCTTTAGCCAACTCAGTATATTTGCAAAACAACCCATGTTCATATAACGCATTATTGCGTTTTTTAATGTGAAACGGATCTGCATCATCCCTTGAAAAATTCACGGAGTATTCTTCATACAGAGAAAAATTATGAAGATTTAAGAAAGACTGCGCTGAATAGTTTTCCCTTTGAAATTTATGAAGCATAACAGGAAGTTTGCGTCGCTAAAAATCGAGAAACGTCTCTGTCTCGTCCAATGATGGAGACCCTTATTTTAATTTGTAAGGTTTCTCTGTTCCTCGTCACTTTTCATTTCTCAAATAAAATTTCTAATGACAAATAAAAAAAGAGGTAGGGGTTGTTAGATGATACACGTATGAGCATTTCCAAACAATTGCAATAGAACACCAATTAATAGTGTTAGTGCCCAAATGAGGTTACAAACCCAAATGTTGCGGTCCTACTCCAACCTGAGTTGCGGTGCTACCAAAATTAATTGGAAATGCCCATATCATCCGACAAATTGGGGTAGTACCACAATTTTAGGGGATAACTCAAAACACTTTTTCTTCCGTGGAGCACTAAGTATGCCCTGAAAATGACGGCGTCTGAATGAATCTTGATCTTACAGGCATAGGAGCTAACAGAGACGGCCGGCAATATGAGCACTCCCGAAAAACAGCCCCCGCCTAGCTATCAATCCAGTGAAAAGGGTCGATTTCACTACAGCAAGAAATCCACATACGCTCAGGTACTACTTACATAAATGACAAACTATCCTCAAATTTACACGATATTTGGTTCAACTCAAGAAGAACTGACTTCTTCTCCAAGGAAAGGACTCGGGTTAAGGTGATTCGATGGACGCCATATTTTGTGTCAGAACGGCATGCGATATATCGCATCAATTGGTTCCATTTTTTCAGCTACTCGTCATTTTTCTCCAATTTTGAGATAGCAATTCTGTTGTCGGGAGACTAAAGCACTCACTTACCAATTTTAACAAAGAAATTTAACGTATTAAAGTTGTTGTTTCTTTAGAGAGAAAATATCGCATTCGAGTGCAGTTTCGATATCAGTATCGAATGCGATGTTTTCTCTCTAAAAAAACACGCCTTTATTACGTTGAATTTCTTTCGGCGCAAGGATAGTTTTCCAATGTGATATATGGTATATGATGGAAAATTTTCAAGATCTGTGGTTTCTAAATTTAGTTATTTAAATACCTACCGTTTTTGCGGGTCCCTTTCCGTGTGTTTTTTCAACATATACGGGCATAATCAAGGCTGCTCTTTTCAAAAGGTACTTGTGGCATTACTTCAAAACTGGTTGCTTCTGGATTTTGGTATGATGCTTGCCATGCCCGCTATCGTCTTGGGTTCTCTTCACAACCATCCGTCAGAAGAGCTCTGCTTGAACGATGCTCAAGCGTCGTGGTTCGGTGAGTCAAAAAATCGTCTAAACAAATGAGCCCATAATCAACAATATTGTTCAAATCAAAAAGATCAATTTTAGAGATTGAAGGGAAAATTTTCAATGGCATCCATGCAGGGCATCTTACACACATATCTATCTACTCCAGGAAAAGAACCTCGATTTGTTTTTCCTCAGTAACCAGCGAAATGTTATAAAATCATAGAACATTGAAACCGCTGTCTTCATTACGTACTGATGTCACCACAAAAAAGAGAAAATGAGGAAGACAAAGAAACCGGTGTTTTAATAAAGGGCTTTTGATTAATGAAAATTCCTAAATTTTGTTATTGCTTCTTGGAAATAATTGTTGGTGGTAGACGACGGTAGCCACCCCAGTCCAATCCTAGGAAACTCCCTCTACAAAATGAAAGAGTTTCAACGTAAAAAACAAGGATGAAATCTGACAGTAGGCTAAGACACAAGTTTATTTGTTTTTGAAAAGTCAAATCCAGTCAACCGAGACTGTAGGCTAAACATTTTTATCATGCTTTGAGTGTCCTGCAGATTTTCGTCAAGAGCAGAAACCAGAAACTAGGGTCACAGAAACATCAGTCAGGAGAGCTATCTGGTCGATGAAACAAGACCATCAGGCCCATAATAAAACATACCTTGTAAATGAGAAGATACGTGATCTAGAAAAAAACGCAGTGTCCCTGATGACTAAGTTCCTTGCCCTAGGTCGAACTATAGTGCTGTTTCAAACTCGATTCCTCTTAAAAAAGAACAACAGTACTTTAAAAAAAAGAGTTTCATTCCAACTGTGAAGAGCTTCCTCTCAAACATACGCAACCTCTGTCTTTAGATAAGTGATTCTGAGCATCAAACTCAAGCAGCTCCTCAGTTCCTCTCCAGAGGTAAAGCGTGTCAATCGACTATCGATATTATCCCATTTCAAGCAATGGTAAAAATCGATTATTATGGTGTGCGTTGCAAACGCCCTGATAATCGATCTTTCTCCATAGGTTTGAATGGCTTATCAAGCGATACATCGCAAAGCACGCCACGCTTATGATCCTCTCGAGAAAGATTTACTATCCAGTTACAATTCGTTAGATATCAATAATGTTTTAAACCTTTTCTTTCTTACTTCATTTTTTTTAAAACGAAGAAAACCGACTGATGACTTGGCACTGATGTGCTAAACACGTGAAAGTCTCCGGGTGTTTGTAGTATATGCTTACAAGAGGTTTCATCATCTTCGTAGATACATATGTCTCTACCTGCGCATTACCTAGGCTAAATTTGAATCAGTTCAGCGACTTTCTATCAAAAGGAATTATGTCATCGCTCATAGATTATTTAGTCAAGTATACCCTCAAGTATCAGAGCAGTAGCCGCTTGAACATTTTTTTGCTATGCAAGTGGCTTTTGTGGTAGCGTAGTAGCTACGTTTTTGTTGATTTTACAGACAAGTAGTTTCATCTTAAGGTGACAACAAACAACACGTGAACAAGAGGCTCTTGGTAATGGACGTATGTACCGGACTGTTTGCGACACCTCCCTCCTTCCCCACTCCCTAATGCAGCTGCGTTGAACTATATCCACGTCATAGACAAATTTCCAGAGAAAGGCGTTCTGAGTTTCCGTCATATACGTAGCTAAAATAAGACATTTTTGGAAGTATGAGATTTCACAAATAGCTGAATGGGGGCTATAAATCTACATTGACCTTCCTTTGAATCATGTAACAAAAGCATTGTTAATCCTTTCAATTTAGCTAGGAGCATGTGCATGCAAGAGCAAGAATTTTTTCTGAAAAGTTTCCGCAAATTTACCTAAATGATCTTCAATAAAAGTATCCAAAATTTCGACGCGATATTTTCGTCCGTTCTATCTCTCTTAATGTAACCAAAAAAAAAAAAAAAATAGAGATCATCCGAGTTTCTGAATCGTTGCAATGACGATACATATTTTCCCTTTAATTATGGTAAAAACTGGAGTAGAAAGTCAAGAATGATGACACGCAAGCATACAGCATTCCTACAGTCATGTAGGCGCCAAAGTGTGTTTCACGCCAACTGAGCGACTGCATTGCGTTTGGCGCAATGCGAGAAGTATTCATGCAGTCTTGTAGGCGCTAATATGGGCTTGACGCCGACCGCACTGTTTGGCGCAATGCGTGAAGTATCTCTGAAGTCCGGTTTCCGTGAATTTATCTAAATGATCTCAAATATAAATATCAAAAATTTTGAAGCGATATTTCATTGTTCTGTTTTATTTTAATGTAACCAAAAAAATTAAATATCATTCGAGTTTTTGAATCGTTACAATGAGGATACATATTTTCCCTTTAATTGTGGTAAAAACTGGAGGAGAAATCCAAGAATGACGACACGCAGTTCTACAGCATTCCTACATTCTTGTAGGCGCTATATTATGCGTTACACGCCAATTGACCGACTGCACCGCGTTTAGCGCAATGCGAGAAGTATTCATGCCGTCTTGTAGGCGCTAATACGGGCTTGACGCCGAGCGCACTGTTTGGCGCAATGCGTGAAGTATTTCTAAAGTCTTGCAGGCGCTAATATACGTTTAAAGCCGGCCGCACTGTGTTCGGAGCGATTATTCGAAATCGTGTTGGAATAATCGTGGCATCGAATAATAGAGCTTAAAAGGCCCATGTTGTGTTGCGACGCCGTTATGAGCATTTCAACGATGCCTCATTTCTCCCGATTAAATATTTTTTAGAATATTTTCACGAGATTACCTTTTTCTCTGTATTGAAGGTAGTATCTTGTTCTTCTCTCACCCTCTGGGGAGTCTCTGTTCGGGGTTCTTCCAAGAGCAGTTCGGACGGAAAGGCTCCATGATGCTGGTCAACATCCCGATCTTCATCGCGTGGATCACCCTCTACTTCGCCGAGTCGGTCTACGCCCTCTACTTCGTGGCGCTGACCATGGGCCTCGGCATCGGCTTCGACGAGGCGCCTCTCCACTCCTACATCGGCGAGATGGGCGAACCCCATCTTCGCGGCACTCTCTGCGCTCTCCTCTGTGCCGCCAGCTTCTTCGGCACGCTCGTCATGTACTTCATCGGGTACCTGGTTCCCTGGAGAACGGCCGCTTTGATCAGCAGTGCTGTTCCCATTATCACTGTTGTCTGCATGTCACAAGTGAGTAAGGAAACGTGAAGCTCCCGATAATGTAATGAATAATACATTGACGGTAAAACTAGAGTTCCTTTATAGAGAGAGTTGAGACAACGCGGCTTATGGATGTCACGAAAGGGAATAAATATTATGCAAATCGGACGTTTTTTTAAATCTTTGATCAACTCGTTCCCGAATTCCTATCTCCGTTCCCTCTCTCATTCTATTTGTTCCTTGACGTAACCCTAATTCCCCGGTCTTTGCAATTGGTGAAAATGTAATCTTCATTCCCGTTTGTGACACTACGATGGCCTAGAATACGGGAGCCGAGCAGAAATGGATTCGCATTTTCTTTACTCTCAGTACAAAAGGACTCCAGGTGAAACTACCTGACTACATATCTCGATTGCGGTGTTCAAAAAGTTCCTCTCTCATTTTATTTTTTTGATGGAGAGCAGATCTATATGAATTCTTGAAGTTTTTACGAAGTTTTCTTTGGACAGAGCAGAAAAATTATGCTTTTTTTAAGAACTGCCGTTGAGTAGTTTTCCCTTTAAAAAATGAAGTTTCGCAAAAAGTCAGCAACGTTGCAAACCGAGATACGTAGAATATTAGTTTCACCGACGTAATTTAGTTTACTTTAGTTCGTAGGGAAAATCTAAAAAAGCCCGTCAAGATTTCAAGATTCAGTGATGACGGGCATTTTGTTGCCTCAGAACTGCCGCCTCCTGTCGTGGCAGACATATTTGGGTATCCATTCCTTGAAAATTTGAATTTCCTTTCAAAACTAAAAATTGTCAAAAATGTGACTCAAAACGTTATTGTTTGACTCACTTAAATTGATGTACGACTTCAAATGGGACGAAAATTAATGAATGTGGCAAAACTATTGCAAGTAACTTTAACTGCTCTCAAGCAGCTCAAATTGCCCAGTTGAGTTGTTGAAGGCGAACAGAACGGATGAGATTGCGAGACGATGTTGTTAGTACTACGTTGGTACAATGACGATCAGTTTTTCCAAGCATGTTTCTTACTGCGTCTCGTGAGTGTTGCTTAGAAGCGACGACCGATGACGCAAGGATCTCACTTCGGTGGTATGCTTCGCGTAGTATACATAACGGTGTTTTTAAAAACCCTTTTTTCATAAAGAGCCATCGATTTATCAACCTGAAGTATCTTCTAGAAAGTAAAAAGAAAAATGTTATTTTCAGATCCCGGAATCACCAACATGGCTCGTCATGCAAGGTCGCTTGAAGGACGCTCAAAAATCTCTGTGCTGGTTGCGGGGATGGACTGAACCAGAGGTTATACGAGCCGAATTTGAGCAGCTGTGTAGCTACGCCAAAATTTCTCCCAATCCCGATCAAGAAAAAAACCCCGAAAAAGAAAAATACGAGTTGGTCCCGGGCAATGACAATGGTGAGTGAGCAGGTTCAAAAAAGTTTTATCGTATTATGACCTCATGAATTTGCTATCTGCTATTTGCTATTTGCTATCTATTCACTTTACATTTCAGAGGTAATTAGTTGAATTAATAATGAAAAATCACTGCACAATAGGTAAAAATCTGTCAATTTCAAGTACTCAAATACAAGTATATCAAAAATCTAAACGCGGAATCACACGCTGAATGTGGCTTGAATGTGGAATTCAGGAACGAGGCTGAAGGACCATCGGATAATGTTGAACTACTCGAATAGATTTGATACAAATCTGGACGAGTATGACTCGAATGTGCGAAATTTCAGCTGTTGAGCGATAACCGTTGACTTTCATATTCAGCTGCCAAATTTAGCGTGTGATTCCGGCATTAAAGGGTAAAACTGCTTAAATTTTTATCTGAGAAGGGATATATATATATATATATGAGTCGCTTTTATAGCGCTCTTTGGCGCTGTGCGACGCCTAATCGCCACAAAGCTCGGTCTTCCCACAGGTCATCAGGGAGTTGACAATCTCTTATCTCATTTAACACCCCCTGTCGCCAACCTCTCACTGGGCGTCCCCTACGTCTCCTCCCAGGAGGAACCCAATCAAGCATCTTTTTTGGCAGCCTCTCTTCCGTCATCCTATTGACATGACCATACCAAACAAGTTGTTTGGTCATGACGTCGAACACGATGTCATTTTCGACTTCCATTATCTGACGCACTCTATCATTACGGACCCGATCTCTCCTAGAAATTCCTGCCGACCTTCTCCAGAAATCCATCTCCGTTGCTCTTAGCATATCCTGTGTCCGTTTCTTCAGCTGCCAAACTTCACATCCGTATGTTAATATACTTTTGACTACAGCGTTGTATATCCTCCTCTTGTTATCTTTGGAAATCCGCTGATCCCAGAGGATTCCATTTAACATCGCTATAGCCTTCCTTGCTAAGGTGTTCCTTTCCCTGATAGCTTGATCCGTCCTTCCATCCTGGGTCAACCGCACTCCCAAGTACTTAAAGTGCTCGCAGCCTTTGATCTGCTGCCCATCCTCCAACTCAATGCTTTGCTGATCACCGCCAAAAGTCATCTTCTCAGATTTGGATATGCTGACTTCCAGACCCCACTTCCGATACTCTTCTACTAGCTTGCGCATCATGTATTCCGCGTCATCTTGATCTTGAGCAACCACCACCTGGTCATCAGCAAAGCACAGAGTAAACAGAGTTTCGAGATCACCCAAGGGGACACCCATACCGGAGCATTTCTTTTTCCATTCTTTTAGCACGCACTCGAGATAAATTTTAAATAATGTTGGCGACAAACAACATCCCTGTTTTAAACCCTTAGTCACATAAAATCCCGCTGACAACCCCCCATGGCACTTAACTTTGGTAAAACTCCCTTTATAAAATCGCTTAACAGCGTCAATCAACCCCCCGTTAAAATTCGATTTTTCCAAGGCCTCCCAAAGTTTCACCAACGGCACGCTGTCATACGCCTTCTGGAGATCCACAAAAATTAAATGCAGTTCCTGAGCTACGGCCATTTTCTTCTCAATGACCTGGACAATAACAAAGAGGTGATCTATCGTAGACCTGCCAGCTCTAAAACCAGCCTGCTCTTCTGCTTCGTGATCCTGCCATTCGTCCTCGATCTTCACTTTCAGTATCTTCCCGTACACTTTGCTTATTGTCCCGGTCACTGAGTGACTCAGTGACTCAGTGACTGAGAAGGGATACTTTTGAATATTCCTCAGTGAGGAGGTCCTTCGAAACCCCCTCTCCCTCACCCTCTGAAGCATTTCCACCCTAGCTCTTCATTCCACATAACCAAAAGGCATCCCTTCGAGCTGTCTCTGAGTTTGCTTCCGCTTTTTGTAGTAGTCCGAACTGACTATTATTATTATATAAGAGTCTGCATCGATGACGTGTTTTGCATATACTACGGCATGAAAGGCTTCATGTTGTTTTGTATAATATTTCGTCTGAGTGTGAGCACTTAACGGCACTTCATCCTCTTCTGAAGAAGTATTTATGCACTTACTGAAGTGGTGCATCATGCGACGTGGAGGTTTTGAAAATGAATTGTGTGTTTGAAGCTTCTCATCTACTCTGTAAATTAAAACATAGAATATGACCTTTTTAGCCATGGTAAATTTCTCTTAAAACAAATTGTCTACGCATCAGAAACCGTTACCTTCTCACTGCAATTCGGAGTTACGTATTTCACTGCAATCTGGAGTTACGTATTTCACTGCAATTCGGAGTTACGTATCTCACTGCAATTCGGAGTTATGTATTTCACTGCAATTCGGAGTTACGTATTTCACTGCAATTCGGAGTTACGTAATTCACTGCGATTCGGAGTTATGTATACTGCTTTTTGCTTACTGAAACTTTCAGCACACCGTTTGCATTACATAAGTCTGTTGCGCTTTTATGTTGAAGAGGGGTGCACTAAAAAAACTTTCCCTAAGTTCCACTCCCCAAATCTATTTCACTTTCTTAACTTGTGAAATGTTTTTAGAATGGGCTAACATTTTAAAGCAGTTATGAACCAGTGTGACAGAAATCCAAAGGAAAGATTTGGCAATGAAAAAAATGATTCCGCTCTTTAAGATCTGGCTAATCTGTATCTCATGTTGAATGCATGTTTCAGAAAAAGTATCTCCTGAAGAGGAAGAAAGTTATTTAAAAACAAAATTCAAGGAACTAACTGACAAGAAGCTGCTACTTCCACTGCGGATGGTTTTTATTGTCTTCATATTCTGTCACGCGACACAACTCACGGCGATGAGACCTTACATGGTCGGTATTCTGGATGAATTTGGGTTTCCTGTTGACAGTAAACTAGTTTTGGTAAGAGGGTCTTTATTAGCTTTGTGAAATACATGTAAATGTCGAGAGGCAAAATGTCTATGGTAAAAAAACACAGTAAACATTTTTTTAACGCCACTGTGAAAATTAGAGGTTTTGGGGGTCTTGTCCAAAAAATTCACATAATCCAGCAGCACCGGTCTGCCGGTCTGGTTTGTTGCGTTATTTTAACCTTTGTTTTTCAATTGAGCGTTCAAAACTCACAGGCGCCAACGCGCCAAATGCGTCAAGAAATCGATCATGGCCCCTAAAAATTGCCCCCCCCCCTCTCCCCTGAAAAAATCCTCATTTTTCTGTTTGAGGATTTTTCGAAATTCCTCCCAAGTTACAGCTACTTGTTTTGTAACTGAAACATCTTGCATCTAACTGCCGTGATATTTATGCAAAAAGTTAATTTGGCCCCAAAAAATCTTCAATGGCCCCTAAAAATCGAGCTTGATGAGACACATGGCTCCTGAAACTCAAAGATGAGTTTGGAACACTGTTTCACACGGAACATTTATATATTTGCAAGAAAGCCTCTTTAACTGTCTCTTCGTGCGACTTCTTTCACAGATTGTGACTGGCGCTTCAGTCTTCGCGGGCACAACGATGAACATGCTTTTCCTGAGGAAGTTTGGTAAACGAAAGATGACGCTGACGTCGCAAGGAATGGCGGCTCTTTGCATCCTCCTTCTGGGCGTCTACTGCTCATTCTACGATCGTTCGAATCGAATCTTGAGCCTGGCCTGGATGCCAGTCGCTCTCATGCTACTCGCCAGTTTCTTCGGTGGTCTTAGCTTGGCCCTCCTCCCGTGGCAACTTCTCAGCGAGGTCTTCCCTCTCAAGTGAGTCTACGGGTCCATCATTCAATCCTTATAGAATGACCTTGATCGACAGATAGCATTGCCAAGATAGGGATTTATCGATTGAGCGCTGAAAAAAAAATATCGGTGTATTTACCAAGAAAAGGGTAAAATTACCAAGAATTCAGGGTTCTATTTGATCCCAGTTTTTTCTTGGTGAAATTACCATTTATGGAATTGATAATTTTACTGAGAAATCTCGGTAAAATTATTGAACTTTCTCGGTAATTTTACCGGACCTTGGTAAAACACAAATATTTTTTATCGACTGTGGTAGTATTACCGAGATAAATTGGCAAAGTTACCGGGAATTGAATACCATTAAAGGTGGTATTCTTACCTGGAAAAAACAGTAAAAATACAGGTTTTTAGGTAAGCTTACCAGTCTGTCTGGGTAAAATTACCAATAATTGGTAAAAAAAGTGAGATGGTAAAGGTACCAACGGACCTTCGTAAAAACGCCGAGAATTTTTTTTCAATGAGATCATTCCATGACGATTCAACAATTGACCCGCTGGAAGCTATTGATTTTATTGCATAAACTCAAAATAATTCCCTTCATATTTGAATGGTATTAGCGAAAAAGGAGTGCAGAATTAATCAATCAAAATAATTGAGGTCTCATTCAATTTGCGGAATAATTGCCCAGGGGTGGGAAAATTGAACACGAAAGATCAGCTTTCCCTTGAAAATCAGAGTATACGGTTTATTAATAATACAAACGGATTTTAAACTGCTGGAAGTGGGTTGTTTATACAGGGGGTTAAAGTTGGTAGTTTAAAAAAAGAGTGGTGTATGCATGAGGGCTAGAGTGACAGTGAATAACTCCGTACAAAGGTAAAATACACACTTCACCCGTGGGAACTATGAGCGCATGATCAGAGTGTATCGCTCGAGGGGAGGGGGCCCTTATGATCACAAGTAAATTCACTATACGGGTTCATTGAACTTCAAGTGATTTGAAGTGAATTTTATTCTAACGCTCTGAATAGGACATACATGTATGAAGTAGAAAAAGAAATGGAGTGAACACACAACTCACGAATTTCAATGGTGTGCACACGGAAAAAATAGGATGGTCTGCACTACCAGCATGCTGGTAGTGCCGACTATATCCTATTTTTTGCGTGTGCAGACTTTTCGACATTACATAAACGCGTTTCCCTCAAAATTATAAAATAATCATTTATCTCTTCCAACCTCAAGATTATTCCCTTCAAGTGTGTAATCAATTAATTCCTCTAATAATTGACACATTCCATAATTGAGACAGGAACCGTTAAAATCTTTACTCTTGATCTCAGCCACACGTACTTCCACGTGGAGTTCATAAGTACTAGACATCTCAAACCAAAAGTGAATTCTAGCTATCGGAATCATTCAGTGAGAATGTCTTTGGAATAACAACGAAAAAGAAATGAAACACCTACATGGCTAAAATTCATGATATTATAATTTCTTGAGGCAGACGGATTTACCCACATTTCAAAGGGTGAGCAAAAGCAACATCCCGCAAATCTGAATTGAATGTAGAGAAAGGCTATTAAAAATATCAGAATACATACGATACGAGCTCAAACCGAAACCCGAAACCCGAGCCGAATTTATAACCACACTGGAAAAAAACACATTGGATCTAGAGTCCAAACTCTTGAAAACATTGACAAGAAAAATGACTCTTGATTCAAGCAGATTTGAGCTTAAATCAAAAAGAAATCCGCTCAAATTAAGAGGTTGGTTCTTAATTTAAGCTTAAATCTGATTGAATCAAGATTATTTTTTCTTGTCGATGATTTTAAGAGTCTGGACTCTAGATCCAATGTGTTTTTTTCTTTTTTCCAGTGCATACACCCATGAAATTTAAATTAAATACTTGGCCCTGTGTTCTAATGACAACCCATTTATTTAGTCTCGTCCGCAATAACATGATTTCTAGAAATGGCAATTAGCTGAAAATGATCAATATTTTTACTTTCCTTGATATTATTATTTGTTTGAATTCTAGGGGTCGTGGAGCAGCAGGAGGTATATCAGCCGCATGGGCGTACTACGTGAGTTTTGCAATGTCAAAAACCTACTTGTACCTAGAGCACTGGATCAAGCTGAACGGAGTCTTCTTCTTCTATGGCGGGATCACACTTTGCGGTTTTTTGTACTTCTTGCGCAACCTCCCGGAGACCGAAGGAAAGTCTTTAGAGCAGATTGAGTCCTACTTCACTAAGAACTACGACAAAAGAGAAATGTTCTCCAAACCGAAGCGTAGTAAAAAGTTACCGTGTTCCGCATAGATAATTTCCTGTACATTAATCCGCCTTCTGTGATATATTGAACTAGTTTGTAAGTTTAAGGAGCCATGACCACGCGGGCTTATGACATCCAGTGATTTCTGTAGGATGAATGAGCAATTTTACCACGCTTGGCCTCGCTCTTTGAAGAGTATTGTTAACGAAAAACAACTGATGTAGCACTCAAGTAACGAAATAAAATATATTGAGATTTTTCTTTACATCTTTCAATATGAAGAATTGTCTTTCAATTTTGTTGACTCTTTGTAATTGTTGAGGATTAATTTAAAAAACCATAAAAACTCCATTTTAAATATAAATGTATGCAAAAAAAAAAACTGTTTCCTCTTAGACCGAACCAGGGCCGGATTTACCTTGCCGCCCATGGGCCGCCTGTAATTTGCCGCCTCCTTCTTATCCGTTATGAAACATCAATAACAACCATCAAGTGAACGTGCCGGAGGGGAGGGGTGCATAAGACGCGTTTACCTACCCGTGTTGGATACATTTTTTTGCGAAAGCTCTATCAACACTACTACAAAATTTCACGGAACTTTGCGCGAAAGTTAAGTTCAGTAAACCTAGAGGTGTGGACAAGGTCCTCCATTTATAAGAAATGAACCAGAAAATTATGAAAGAACAAACATAAATGTCGTTTAATAATTTTAACTTCCGTCGCTGCGCCGCGCTGATCGCACTGTGTTTGGCGCAATGCGTGAAGTATTCCTGCAGTCTTGTAGGCGCTACGCGTTTCACGCCAACCGCTCCTGACCGCAGTGTGTTTGGCGCAATGAGTGAAGTATTCATGCAGTCTTGAAGGCGCCAATATGCGTTACATGCCGACCGCCGCGCCGAGGGCTATTCCTTTTCATCTCAAGTCCTCATCATCATACCTCTCTGCGCTGAGCTCTGGGCCAAATTGCGTGTTTCGTTCCTTTCTTCACTCGACTAATTAAAGATGCTGTCTCTTGTATCACCGAAAAACGACAAAATTAGAAATTACTATACTCTAAGGAAATAGAGATTTTGTCCTCTTTTCTCGTTAACATTTTTTTTTTCTGAATCCAATTTCTTTTATACCGACATTTTAAAAAAATTTAAAATTTTAACCCCTTTAATCCGGCCCTGGACCGAATAAGATTTAGCTACCATTCAAGCATCAAACTTATTTTTTCATCGCAACTTAACTTTTCTCTTTTGTGAACTGAGCATGCTTTCATTTCCACCCAAAAACAAAGCCCCAGGAATTTTGCTGATTAGGGTTAGGCCGGGATCGATCCTCTTTCTTCCCATGGTCACTTGGTCAGTCGTTGGTTTTCGCTCATGCACTACCTATATGTATAGGTAGTGCATGAGCGAAAACCAACGACTGACCAAGTGACCATGGGAAGAAAGAGGATCGATCCCGGCCTAACCCTAATCAGCAAAATTCCTGGGGCTTTAATGCCTAGTTACACACAGCGATTAATCGCCGCGAGTGAAAGACGAAAGCCAATGGAGAGCTTTGATTTCGATCCATTGACGTCGATATATCGAAATCAAGGCTCTCCATTGGCTTTCGTCTTTCACTTGCGGCGATTAATCGCCGTGTATATCTAGGCCATAACGTGGCTCACACATACGCGCAATGCTCCCGATCTCCATCACCCGATGATGAACTAGCAAATTCTTTCTGATCACTTGAGAAAGTGCTATATTTCAGATTTACATGCTTAGCCGTGGGTCAAAATATAGTGCGCTCAGGTTTAATTAAAGCACTCAGGAAACTTTGACGGTCCTAGTCATACGTGATACGTGATCACAGTAGTTTTTCTTTGCTGCTGCTGATCAGTTGTTAGCCGTGATTGATTTAAATAGGTGAAAGTTACGATTCATTGTGAGCCGGTTGTTATTTCTGTGGAATATCTCAGTGCCAATAGTTTACATCCAGAGGCGAATGGTGCAGTCACACACTCAAAGAAAAGGTAAAATTCGTCAAATTTAAATATTTAGATATTCCGCAAAGTCTTTGGATACCAAAATCACACAATTTAAGTTATGTTGAAGGTCCTTTAAGCAGAAAAATTAATTTTTATTATATATTTAGCTGTAGACTAACGTTTAGATATACTTGATTTTGGCACAAATTTTTAATGAAATGGCAAAAGTATAGCCCAACAGATATATTTTCCACCTCATTATTTTACTTAGATGCTACTTGGCAAGCTTTTGGTCTCAAAGAGTTCCGTATTCGCATAAACCGTCAAGCTATCCCTAGTTAAAAATGACACTTACGTGTCAGCGTTTACCACAATGCAGATTTTTTTTACAAGAAGATGTTTGATTTCTGTTAAAATTATTGCCAATTTTTGCATGTGATCAGAGGGAAAAGTTTGTAAAATGTTAATTTTTAATTGTTTGACGATTTTCTGGTGAAAATACAATTTACGGGTTGAAATTCTGCGATGTCGATCCGAGATGCAGTTACGTTCTATCATCTGGAGAAGGACGACTTGGACTACATTTTGCAATTGAATCAGTGAGAACGTGCTTTTAGGGCAGGAGAGCCATCGCAATGCTGAACGGGGTGCTCTGGGATCAGAGCATCTCGAAGGCAAACAAGCACCGGATATATGACGCCATTGTTAAAAGTATCGTGCTCTATGCATGGTAGTGAAGTGTGGCCTTTGACGAAAAGAACGCAAGAAATGTTGAGGGCAACTGAAATGGATTTTTGGCGGCGATCTGCCGGCATTTCGAGACGGGACCGTGTCCGTAATGAGAGAATTCGCCAGGTGATGAAGGTTGAGAAAGATATCGTGCACGACGCCATGTCCAGGCAGTTATGTTGGTATGGACATGTGCAAAGAATGTCGGAGGAGAGGTTGCCCAAACAAGTTTTGGATTGGGTACCACCTGGGAAGAGGCGACGGGGACGTCCCGTAAAGGGTTGGCGGCAGGGCGTTGACGAAGAGATGTTGCGGTGTCAGTTGCCCGATAACCTCTGGGAAGACAGGCATATGTGGCGTTTGAGTGTCGTAGAACGCCAGAGTGCGTTATAAAGCGACTTTATATATATATCAGTGAGAACGAAAACACACTAACTCGAAAAAATGAAAATAATCAAGACGCACACAAAACTGCAGAAGTTAGTCTGAGAAAAATATTTTTGGCGCCGAAAAATTAATAACACTTTAAAGGTTCAGCTGCGCTAATTTCAATGACCGTTATGCAATTTGATTGTCTTTCATGAAGATGGTCAACTAATGGCACATACGTCGTTCGTAAACTGAGTCAGAATTTAGTTCCTAAATTGCAAAATGTAGTCCAATTCCCAGTTGAGCTGATTCTCACGTCTCTCTCGTGTGTGTGGTTACATTGAAACGTGAAGACAGAAAAATGCATCGATTACGACATTACCACACGAAAAAAAATATTCATTGGTAAAACTCTGATTATGATAGTATGTACATTCGAATTCAAGAAGTCTAGTAGTCAGCGTACATAATTCTAGTAGTGCTAATCAAACGGCTGGTAAACGTATAACCAGACGCATGATTGTTACAGTTTGGACTGAACCGAAACGGAGGGCAACATGTGTATCCCTGAAGAGCCAAGCCGACAATCTAGAGAAATGGGTCCATTCAACTACGACAGGAGGTCTACGTACGCCCAGGTACGTACGTATGGATTAATTTTTACAAGAAAAAACCACTATCCATAGTAATTACAGTAATTACAATTAAATTTAGATAAAACCAAAATAAAACAAAATAATAAAATTAGCCAAATAAATACATACATATGGTTTATAAAAAATGTAAGTATGATTATAAAGTTAGTATAGTAATAAAAAATATACTTATAATTATTACCCCTCTATAAAAGCACCTTCCTGGAGAGGGAAACAAATGGCATATATGTTAGTTCTGCAATAAGCCAGAAAAATTCAATACTAACTCTATGCCTCAATCGTGTTTTAAATATTATTGTACGACAGTTTTGTTCCAAAGTAAGATTTGTGAAATTCCTTGTTGTAAAGTTTCATGGATGAGGTATTGTTGTAACTACTAGCGAAGCAATCATTTCCCTTTAAGGAGCACTGTTCACTCAGTAGGTATGTCTGCTCAGAGACATGCTGTATTTCAAAATAATATCATGACTATTTTTTTGAAAGGTTCTCGTGGCACTGCTCCAAACCCCTATGATCTTCAATTTTGGTATGATGCTCTCCATGCCTACTATTGTCTTGGGAGCTCTTCACAACCGCAAGTCAGAAGCGCTCTGGTTGGACGATGATCAGGCGTCGTGGTTCGGTGAGTCAAGAAATATATTACTTCGAGGAACCTTAAAACCATCAAGAACATGATAAAACTGTGATGTTTGTGGGGTGTTCAACTTCTGGTGGCCGAAAAATTGATAAGAAGGGTGCTCTACCCACATTTTCCTGGGGACGGATATTTCGACAGTAAACGTTTAGCGTTTATACTTACGGGTCCCTGTTGCCCCTCCCCCATGTGGAGCCCCTGATTAGTCGAACTGGTGTAATTCCAAATAGGATTTCTGCTCTACGAAAATAATGGAATTTGTAAAACTATCATATTTCTTCGCCAAACTTAAGCATATTGTTAGCATCAATCATCTCCTCTCGACTTAGTAAAGATACTGTCGAGATCCATGGAGATGTTGCATGTGTGAGGAATTTGCAATTTGACTGCTGATTCTTACGGAAAAGTACGCGAGAAACACGATGGTGCCACTGGTTTTCTCTGAAATCAACTCCCAAGCTCACAAACAGCTCTCAAGTTGAGGCCAAAATGGAGGGGATATCCCACCCTACCTTGAGAGTCCAATCAAGACAAACTCTCCATGCAAAGATAGGGCGCAAATACAGGGCTGCCAATTTATTTGGGGACTCTAAAACTGAAAACACGGCACTGCTAATGTATTTGCTCCCTATCTTTGCATGGAGAGTTCGTCTTGATGTAGAGGTGGACTCTCAGGACAGCGTGGGATATCCCCTCCATTTTGGCCTCAACTTGTGAGCTTTTTTTAAGCTTGGGAGTTGATTTCAGAGAAACCCAGTGGCACCATCGTGTTTCTCGCGAACTTATACAGAAGAATCAACAGTCAAATCGCAAATTCCTCACACACGCAACATCTCCATTCTTGAATATTAGCAACTTTATTTAGACGTATTACTGCTAAAAAGAACTATGTGCATTATGACGTGAGCCCTGTTACGCCTATATTCTAATGGGTCTCAGGGCTCATGTCTCAATGCACATAGTTTCGTATGGCAGGAATACGTCCATTTCAATATAATGTTTTGATCTGATACTCTGATGTCGCTTTCTCCATCTTAAAGGTAGTATCTTGTTCGCAACTCACCCTCTCGGCAGCGTCTGTTCGGGGTTCTTCCAGACATACCTCGGCCGGAAGGGTTCCATGCTATTAGTCAACATTCTATTCTTCATCGCGTGGATCACCCTGTATTCCGCCGAATCGCCCCTCGTGCTCTGCATCGCGGCGCTGACCATGGGCCTCGGCATCGGCTTCGACGAGGCGCCTCTCCATTCCTACATCGGCGAGATGAGCGAACCCCACCTTCGCGCCACTCTTTGCGCTCTCCTGGTTTCCTGTTCTTGGGCCGGAGCGCTCCTCATGTACCTCATCGCGTATCTGGCGCCTTGGAGGACTGTCGCGCTCATCAGTAGCGCTGTCCCTATTTTCACCATCATCTGCATATCACAGGTCAATCTAGAAATATAAAATAATAAGAAATTTAATTTAATTTTATAATATTTCAGTTTATAATATTTCAGTTTATAATATTTTCAATTATCAGTGCGCGAGACAATGGGTGTCGAGAATGACATCGTGCACGATATAAGGTCCAAGCAGTTGGTCTGGTATGAGCATGTGCGAAGGATGGCAGACGATCGGTTGCCCAAGCAGGTTTTTGATTGGGTTCGCCTCTCGGAAGGCGACGGCGTGGACGTCCTGTGAAAGGTTGGCGACAAGGGGTGGAGGAGGAGATCAGGAGGTGCCAACTGCCTGATGGTCTCTGGGAAGATAGGGGGCAATGGCGATTGGGCATCGCAGAGCGCGAGGCTGTGCTATAAAAGTGGCTTGATGTATGTGCAATAATTGAGGCAGAAAGGAACGTAGTGATAGGAATGTCAAATTTTAACCACTGGTTGCACTATATCTACGGTGAAACGCCCATAACACGTATCTCGGTTTGATGCGATATCGCAGACTTTCTGTCATACTTTATTTTTAAATGAAAAACTATCGAGTGTCATATCTTGGATTTTTTTGCGGTTTCTCTCTTCTGTGCGAAGAAAATAATATATTTATTCTCTTTTAAAAAATAAAATGGGAACGGAGATTTTATAAACACCGCAAACGAGATACATGGTTTGGGAGTTTCACCGTTGACATGTATATCGAATGTAATGTATATGAAATACAATTATTTTTGTCCTCCTACGCTAAAATCATCCCTCCTCTATAGACTGTCGGATTTACCAAAATTCCAGGAGTAAGTGATTTTTTATTCCTGTCAGAGTTAAGTTCATACATTTTCCTGAGATATACCTCAACAAGCTCATCAGGCCGAGGATGCCTGGATTTGAAACTTCGATCAATCAGAAATCGAAAGAGACCAAGACACAATCAGAGCATGACGAATTATTTCTCACTGTCAGTGTAATGCAACCGTACCTTAGTTCTGCGGAAAAATTCCAAAACATTGTTACTCCGGAATGAGATGGTTTTTAAGAAATTAAATATGATTTTCAGATTCCGGAATCACCCACATGGTACGTTATGAAAGGTCGCTTAAATGATGCCCAAAAATCTTTGTGCTGGTTGAGGGGTTGGACTGAACCAGATGTAACACGGACTGAATTCGAACAGCTGTGTGGCCACATCAAAAAATCTTCAAATTCCGATCAGGAGAAACCCCAAGCAGAAGAAAAGTACCAAGCTGTCCCAGGGAACGACAATGGTGAGTGAGTACACACTCCCGATTAGCATGCATCACTCTTTAACCCTATCTTTCTCTCCTTACATGCCGATTTAATTTTATCTCTCTTTTTAAAAAAAATAATAATAATAAAAAAATAGTCCAAATTTCTATAACTATCATAAAACTTTTTCAATGGAAAATCTGGAGAAAAGTTAGCACTAAAAATAAGCGACCTTAAATTTTGGATGTCTCATAGAACTCGTAAATTAATTTTTTCAGAAAAAGAGTCCGTTGGAAAGGCGGAGAGTCTCTTCAAAACAAAATTCAGAGAGCTGACGGATAAAAAGCTGCTACTCCCATTGCGAATGGTTTTCATTGTCTTCATTTTCAGCCGTGCGACACAACTTACGCCAATGGGACCTTACATGATCGGCATTCTGGATGACTTTGGGTTTCCCGCCGACAGTAAACTAATTTTGGTGAGAGTGTAATGTAACATAATCTTAATATGATTGATCAGTCTTATGTCTGAAAGTATTACAATAACTCCTAAGCAGTGTTACGTATGGTGCATATGGCTCCAAGTTGTCTATGAGCTAGCAGGCATTTGGTATTCAATTGAAGTATAAAACTTTAAATTTAAAGTGGCAAAACAAAAAGTTATAAGATAAGTTTGATAAAATTGAAAAATATAATGATATGGAAAAGTGAACAATTTTTATTGCTGTTAATTTAGGGCAAGAGACTAGGGGTATAAGGAGTACACTTTTTATTACATGGGATCCATGTAAACGTTGTGATAAATTGAGAGTATTTCTCGTATTTAGCCGTCAGCATACACACACCAGTATGTACGTCATTTCCCGAACGAAGGAACGTAACTCAATTCCAAGGTTGCAAAATTGAGTCTTATTACAATTCATCTTTTCACAAGAATATCCCCGTGCAATTTTTGTTCAAAATATTTCTAACTTTTGTATGAGATTAGGAGAAAAATTAGTAAAATTTTCAGTCAGAGATTCCCAAGATTTTTCAGCAATTTGCGAGGGGAAATTTGGCAGCATTGTAATGTAGTTACGTTCTTTCGCGAGGGAATCGGCGCACAGTGGATCGAGTCAAGTAGGGCAGTCGGACATGAAATTTTTGACTAAAACTGAGAATTTTGGTGTTTATTTCGTCAAATTTTAAAGTTTAAGGGGTTTAAAGGTAAGTTTAAGAAAATTTCACAAAAAAACCAATGGAACCACTTTTAAGACCTCAAAGTTGGGTATGAACGGAGTTAAAAGCTTTCAAAGTTTCCAAATTATGTCCGACCTCTCCTATTGACTCGGTCCACTGTGCGGCGTATAGTGCTTACATACATTAGGGTAGTGAGTAATATTCACCTTCAATTTTTTTTAAAAAATGTTCTTACAATGAGTTTCCATGAATTTTCGCTTAGTTTGTGGCCGGCTTATCAGGTTTTGCGGGAACACTTATGAATATCCTGCTCGTGCGGAAGTTGGGAAAGCGAAAGATATCGTTGACGTCACAAGGGACAGTGGCATTTTGCATGCTCCTACTTGGTGTCTACTGCTCATTTTTCGATCGTTCGAATCGAATTTTGAGCTTGACCTGGATACCGATCTCTCTTTTAGTGATTGCCGGTTTCTTCGCTGGACTCAGCATGGCGCTCCTACCATGGCAGCTTCTCAGCGAGGTCTTTCCTCTCAAGTGAGTTCAGAGAATACGTTGCTTACCCTTAAAGTCCATTTTAAATTTAGTATATTATAGATAATAAAGTAAAGTGAAATTGTTTGAAATTATTATTGGAGCTCCATTTAAGCAAAACTAGTCTATGATAACGTTATCGACCTCACGAGGGAGTAGTGGATGTAGCGCTAGTCCCATAACCAAGAGGACCCGGGTTGGATTTACGGCCAGGTGACCTGAGTAAGATAGTTCCGGGCAATCATCACCTTAGGCTAGGGAATTCAGTATATTAGCTCTATGGGATATTAAAAATTGTTAAGAAAAAAAAAGAAAAAAAAGATGTTTTAAAAAATACCAAAACACGTTCACGTGGATTTTCCATAACGATGTATTCGTGATATTTCGATACCACTTTCCTAAAGGGCCTAAGGGGCCGTCCTCAAATTCCGTAACGCGCTAGCGAGAAATGGGGTCAAGGAGAGCGTTACGCCATTTTATTTTTACATGTTGAAGTATAGGGACCTTCGCTACAAAAGCGTTATAAGGGGGATGAGGGGGGGCGTAAATAATCCCAAAAAAGTGCATTATGTAATTTAGGGACGGTCCCTGGTGGTTAGACAAAAGCCTCTACATAAAGTTAAATAATAACTCTCCTGTCATGTGGTTCTTCTAGAGGTCGCGGTGTAGGTGGAGGCGTATCAGCGGCGTATGCTTACTACGTGAGTTTTGCAATGACGAAAACATACTTGTACCTGGAGCACTGGATCCAACTTAATGGCGTCTTCTTTTTCTACGGTGGAATCACTCTTTATGGTGTCTGGTACCTCTTGCGCTACCTCCCGGAGACTGAGGGAAAGTCTCTCGAACAGATTGAGACCTACTTCACCAAAAACTATGACAAGAAAGAGATGTTCTCCAAACCTAGGGGAAGTGCCGCCTAGACGATCTCTGGGACATTCATGTTTTTTCTGTGATATCTTGAATTAGTTCGTAAGTTTGAGGATCCTGGATTTTGGGAGATATTTAAAATTCGGTATGCTTTCTGTGTAAAAGAAGCAGCACACATTTTTCTGACTCAAAATGATCAGTCCGACTTCCCCGGATCCTGCTGTAAGACCTAGTTCTATTACCTCTTCTTACGAGTTGAACCTCTGACTAAAATTTGACGAGTGCATCAGAACCTGTTTTTTAAACGGAGGTTGAGACTCTTTGTTCAAAATATCCCACCGGTACTAAAAATGTCAATCGAACTACTAGACCTTAAAATTTATCATTTAAGCCCTCAAATCTCAAAAAATACCTCGGAGGTTGACATTAAAAACCAATGGAGGTAAAACTGACCTTAATTATGGTATAGTAAAGTCAACGAGAATAATTGTAATCAACGTTCCAAGTAAGATGTATCGGAAGTGTTGGATTTTTGTATTCTTCCTCCTGTAGGATAGATCATTTTTGTTAATACCTAGAATTAATGCGAATTTAACTTTTTCAACCCGCAGACACGCTCGCATAAGCGCATTTACATACACAGGGAGTGGTCATACATCTATAATACTCACTAGCACATTGCTATTTTTCTATCTTTTTTGTATTTTTCTCTCGATGTAGTTTTTGTATTAAAAGTTTTTTTTTCTAAAAAAGAAATCGTGATTGGTCATTTTATACATGTATCAGTATGCGTTAAAAAGCTGCTCGTTTTATAGGTCGAACATTGGCTGCTATGCTCGCTATACGCTATGCTGCCGTGCTAAGGAAGAACGCCGTATGAACATCTGAAAGTTGCCAAATTTCCCTCAATAAAATGTTTCTTTTCGAGGAAAGACATGAATACTTTTCCCTGAAATTTTCAAGGACTTTGGGTGAAATTGCGAACAAAATTATTTGAAAAATTGGAAGGAAAATATTCATAATGCTACCAGGAAACTAGTTTTTTGTTGAAGGAATTTTGGCGACGTCTAAAGGTTTATACGGCGTTTTTCCTCAGCACAGCAGTATGGTAGATACTCTTTTCGCCCTGGTTCGCCGAAAACTAAACCAGAGTCGATGCAAGTTTCCGACCAAATTTTTTCCCTAGTAACATGTCACGAAAACGATGCCAAAATCTATCAAACTTAGGGACCAAATTGTAATTTTACGCACCAGAGTAGAGAGAAAAAATGAAAAGTGCGTAACAGGTAACATGCTCCTCGGCTGAAATTTGAACAAATTTTAAGGTTGATTTTTGTCGAAGGGCTAAATTGGGACGATGAAATTATTCCTCGGATTTTCATCGCGCGGGCTTGAGACAGCTTCTTCCACGGGGAAACTAAAAAGAAGAAGCTGCCAAAATCCGAGCGGGCTTACGTGTTGTGGGAATGACGTCACAGTTTGGCGGCCCTTCGCCGAGAGAGGGCCCAGTTCGTGTGAGGACGCGCGACGGGTGAAGTGACCGCGAGTGCTAGTTTTTGAACGATTATTTATTTTTTTATTATTTTTTAATTGGCCGATTTTGTAAACGGCATGTTCACGATCCGCACCAAGTGAAATAACAACATCATGTCAGTGCCAGGCTACTCTTGGATTTGTGTATCTGTGATCTTAATTATAGGATTCCATCAAGGTAAGAAATTCATCGGTCTCGCCAGAGTTAAAAGCTGTGTTAGTATGTTAGAAAAATATAAATTTTAAAAGATGCCGAAAAAAAAACAAAAACGTATCGTAGTGCTTAAAATGGACCGCATTTAACAGAAAGGAACCAAGCCACATCAGCTATTGCCAAATTTAACTGGGGAAGTCAATTTTTTACGAGAGAACGTTTGTGCGGATTCCTTTGAAAATGTTAAGGAATTTGTTTCGTACTGTGGAGGAAATTCACTGGAATTTGCACAAAAATCCGCCCAACTGTTTTCTTGTAAAATATTAATTCGCCATGTTAAATTTGGCAATAGCTGATATGGCTTGGTTCCTTCCTGTTAAACGCGGTCCAATTGAGACCCTTAAAATGGGGAATTGACGCCATCTCCAGCACATAGACCTTTTTACATAATCACAAGATTCCACCATCGCAGCATTCGGGGAATCAGGTTTGCCTACTTTATCACAAGAAGGCGAATCTGTATGAGTTCATTTTTCTTAGACTTTTTGGAAATCATTTGGTATGGTACCGTCATGGAGAGAGGAACTAACTATACCGATGGTGAAAATGGTTAAATCTACCGATGGTTAAATCTACCGTGTCTTAATAATTGAAGGGCTTGGAGGACAAGGCGCATAAGTGCAGTGTTCACTTTTTCAAGAAATACGTGTTTAAAGTTTCAAAATTACATGGAGCGTACGGCGAAAAGGAAGTTTAAACCCACTTTTTGATGCGTTAGAGTTGGATGTTAGTTGGGAATTTTTCGCAAAATATACTCTCAAACTAGTTTTAGTTGAGTTCATGAATATCTCGATATTTTAAAAAACTGCACGTATGCGTCTTGTCCTCCAAGCCCCTCATAAATAACGCTCAAATTTCTTTCGGAAAATTACCAAGGAAAATATGTCACCGTCTATTTTGCTGAAAAATTAAACAGCTTTACCTTTGCTGATCTGATAGACCTCTTAAACATAATGAGAAGTTAGTTGTTTCGAAGGAAATTTACTCAAGAAATGAAGTAAAATTTGGCTGATTTCAAGAACAACTTTACGGCTATGTATATCGCGAACGTTGCCATAAAGTAATTCAAATCGGAATTTGAGCTGCAATTTCATATTAGTATATATTATAATTTATCTGTGATTGTGATTAGGAGCTGTCTCATTAGTAAGGCTGCCGTACAGATCATTCGTGTTCAAAAACGATAAACTATTTAGGTTTGGTTGGTAAATATATGACCACAAGGTCAGTCTCAAATAGGTATAGCAATTCTAGTTTTCACGTCGAGGAGGCTCAAAGTTTTAAAAATTTCTCACGATAATCCGGATTAAAATGTTATTACATAATGTAACTAAACACATGTATTATGTAACATGTAATAATTGTTATAACATTTAAATGAGAGGCGTGGAGGGTAAGGCGCACAAGTGCAGTTTTTGCTATTTCGAGAACTACGTGTTTGAAGTCTCGAAATTACATGGATCCTTATGGCGGAAAGAAAGTTCAAACTGACTTTTTATGCTTAAAAATTGGAATTTTTGAAAGAACTTTTGACAGAATATGCATTAAGACTACTTTCACTTGAGATGATTAATTCCTTAATTTTTTAAAAACTGCACTAAAGCCCTTAAAATGCGATCTCCTTGATCAGATACGAAATGAGAGTAAAATGCCATTGGGCCACATGAGATTAGCCGATGAGCAAGACATAGAAACATAATGTAGCTTAAATTTGTGGTAGTGTATCGGTATTTTAAAATTAGGCTAGATCGTAAGCAGCTGATTCCTTTTCTTTTATTGCTTTATATGAATGGCATATTTTCCATGTGAAAAATATACTATTATTGGTTATAGTTTATCTGTCTAATGTCAGAGGAACATTTTATGGCTCAAAGTAAAGAAATGCGCATCTCTGATTGCAACGTTGCAAACCTCTGAAGATTTTTTTTTAAGATTTAAGAACTAGTTAACAATTTTTCCGGATTTTTTTGGTGAATTTTTTCCTCACTTTTAAAAATATTAACGAGAAACTTCAAGGAGATATTTTGGCTTGCTCTCTTAAAAGGAATACAACATAATCGAAGTTTCTTAATCGTTGCAATGGAGATACGCACGTTTTGACTTTTTTTAGGTTAAATATACTAGAATAAGAAGTGACTTTTATGAATGTTCAAAAAAGGGAAGGAAAGAAAGACGAAGAAAGAAAATTAAGTAATGATGGAGAGTGCTAGGGAATACATAAAGCCGGAACTCTTGAGTCGTGCGTAGATACCCTTAAAAATGCTAGGTCCCATTTTTATCACTCATGCCTACATACCTGAAATAATGCAAATGTACATGCTTTATCATGTAACTTAAGTTTCAATTAAAATCCAGTAAACATGAAGATGTCCTCTACCAATTTGTGTGTAACGTTTTCTTAGTCGTCAATGAATCGTTTAAAAGAGAAAACTCGACGGTGTTTTTTGTCGGGAAAATTTGCAGTTTTTTTTCCATAAATTCATCGAGGTTTCAAATCTTTAATTATTACAAAATGGTCTGGGCAGCCACCGATATATGCCATGGAGAGACACTGTATGAATATTCAACGTTTGTTAAATTTTCTTAATAAATGCATTTTTTTGAAGGAAAGTTATGAATATCGCTCGTTGGAATCTTCGGGCACAGTGGATTAAATTCGGAATTAAATTCTAAGAAGTTCAGAGAAATAATTGTAAATTTTCCAGAAAACTAACCATATATTGCAGGAGATTTGGCAGCGTTAGGATGTTCATACGGCATTTTTCCTCATCACGTCAGGAGCGCGTTGTCTAGTTGAATAAAAGAGACAAAAATTTATTGGCAGTCCGCGAGCGTGCAGTGGATATGAAGCGATTCCCAATTTAGCCGTTCTTCGGTTCTTATTGCATGGAAAGGGGTGCGAGATAGGAGAAGGGGGAGAGGGGAGGATGCGGGATATAAATCTGCGGGGCACGTAGGTAAATCGGCGGATCCAGGTTCGAATGCTCCACATCGGGTCGGCGCGTCTCATTACCGCGGCCGGCGCGGCGCGGCGGCAGTGACTGCGAGGTTTTCCGCCGGCCGGGCAGCCCCGCTCCACGAAAATGCACTTAAAAATAAGCTGTGTCATAGCATAGGTCTAAAGATATAACCTACGTGAGCTAAAAACAGCCGCCGTATTGAATATTGGGCTATACGCTGGGGCTGTTGCCGTCTCCATCTCAGAGCCCAAGTTCAATTGAACCGCATTTAGCAAAAAGGGACCGGCGTGATTACGGTGTTTTCAAAATCGTGCAAATTATTTTTTTCATTTAAAAATTAGATACACACTGGAAAAAAAAACACATTGGATCTAGAGTCCAGACTCTTAAAAACATCGACAAGAAAAAATACTCTTGATTCAATCAGATTTAAGCTTAAATCAAGAACCAAGCCTCTTATTTTTAGCGGATTTCGTTTTGATTCAAACAAAAATCCGATTAAATCAAGAGTGTTTTATCTTGTCAATGTTTTCAAGGGTCTGGACTCTAGATCCAAATTCCAATGTGGTTTTTTTTCCCAGTGTGTGTACAGTAGTAGAATTAACACAATTATTGTCCTTTAAAATTGACCAATTTTTGGTGGGATGTGAAAACCATTTGCTACATTGGGAGATTTTTTAGATAATTATCAAAAAGCAACATTTTAACAACACTGTAATTGCGCTGGTTCCTTTTATCAAAATGCGATCCAAATGTTGCTTCTTCGTGAGTATCTAAAGAATCTCCCAGAATAGGAAATAGTTTTTTCTTCCTACAAAAAAATGGTTACTTTCGAAGGAAAATAATTGTGTAAATTATAGTACCTACTGTACGTAGTGTACGAGTATGAAGTATTTTTAAAATAAAAGAAGTTGCACGAATCTGAAAACACTGCATGTAATCGCGCTGGTTTCTTTCTGCTAAATGCGATCCAATTCAACGGTGGAACTGCCGTCTGATTGAATCGAATTGCTTCAGGATGTACATGTACAGTGAAGCGGACCTTTGAGATAGATACATCGCGAAACTTTAACTAAAGTTGCACATTTTTTTAAGTTTCTTACGTTACATTACAAACATTCTTGAAGAAAATTTCGCCAGAAAACCAATGAAGCCACATTCAAACTTTCACGTTCTTTATTCAAACATACGAGCTTTTAAAGTTTCTAAATCATGTCTGACAGAGGCGTGACTTGCTTGCAAAGTATCGATTAAACTGCCATTCAAACCTATGGAAAAGGATCGATGAGCAGGGTGTTCGCAACGAACACCATAATAATCGATTCTTTACCGTAGCTTCAAATGGGATAATATCGATAGTAGCTCATCACGCTTCGCCACTGATGTTCGACCTCTCTGCGTTTATTATGAACAGAGATATCGCGCTTTTAAAAATTCGTTTTATGATTATCCACCGCGGTAGTGACACCCTTTGGTTTCTTCCACCTTGCTTTCATCTGAGTTTCATGTTGTAACCAGTGCAGATGCATGTCTCACGGATTGATGAAAGCAAGCACTGGAAATAAAAAACACATTGAATCTAGAGTCCAGGCTCTTGCATGAAAACAATGACAAGAAAAAATACTCTTGATTCAATCAGATTTAAGCTTAAATCAAAGAGGCTTGGTTCTTGATTTAAGCTTAAATCTGATTGAATCAAGAGTATTTTTTCTTGTCGATGTTTTTGAGAGTCTGGACTGATCCAATGTGTTTTTGTGTGAAGGTGGAAGAAACCGATGGTGTTACTACCGCGGTGGATGACGCCATAAACCGAATTTTTCAAAGCGTAATACCTCTTCCGTACTGAACGTAAGAAGTCGCTGTTTGGACGGATCTTATTATTTTTAGCTGATCCAAAAGAATCGAGCATCAAAACACGATTCTGTGACCAGTGCAACTGACTCATCGACAGTCCAAACAAATCTTCGGTTAAAATGAGACGTTGTTAGGTAACGGAGAAAATCT